TATTAGATTAGATTAGATTCTTAGAGGTGGCTTTCGGCCTGATCCACTGCGACCTTCTCAGATCTATTGTGGTCCTCTTCTGATCCTTAGATTACATTCTCCAGTCCTGTCCTTTTCACAAAGTTTAGCAACTTGGAGACTGAACCCTCCATGTAGCTCCTTGGCAATGGCCTATCATTGCCTATTACCGGGAACCGCACATTTGCCAGGGTGTCACACCGACATAAAATGCGTTCTGACGTTTCTTCTTCAGATTGGCAGAACCTACACATAGCTTCGTCTGTCAATCCCATCAGCTTATCTGCCTATTTAGCTTACAATGCCCTGTTAGTAGACCTACAGCTTTGACTGTCTTTCTGTCCTTGCTTATCAAGTCTATAGTCTATAAAATGAATAACTTTGAATTTTGACCGTTAATTTTTTACCAATATGGCAAATATAAAATCCCTCTGTCAAAAAAGTTACTGATATTCTTTAAATTGAGTGCCTGAACGGATCAGATAGGTAACTCTTTTTACTTTCGTGAAATAGAAAAGGAAAATAATAAAACAAGTGACAGTTATTCCTCTTCTTACAAAAATCAACACGAAATGTCATAATTGTCAAAAGTAAAATGTCATCAGCTTTTGACATTTCTAAATATCAGACCAATGCCGTCTCTAATAGAACAGCCTCGGAGTGAGATTTATGACGTCACACTAGTTAGATACTAGGGATTAAAAAATATGTTGTAGAATACATGGAAAACATAATTCTTCCTTGTATTTTTGGTTTGTATTTTAAAAATGATATAGTTTACATGAAATATACATAATATACAGTTAATAAATACAATATATACACCTATTTATAGTAATAAATACTTTGGCAAATAAACTATGAATCATACAAATGCGGCAAATGTTTTACAATATAAAAATAATGAATAGGTACATAGGATAATGGGTAAAATGTAAAATATATTTTAAATTTTGGGGTTTGAAAATCGATCTAATTTAACAAAAAACATTCAATATCTACTAATAGTGATGTTTATTATTTGCATTCACAAAGTTATATGTATATTTTGCAAGTATCAATGTTCAAAAAATTATATTTGCAAATAATACAATATATATGTTATAATTTGTGATTTAACATATATATAGAAAAAAGGCTATGAAATAAAGATCGCTGTCATTTTATAATATGTAAAATTATTCTATAATTTTTGATTTTCTTGGGATTTCGGGAAAACGCTGATTAAGTTTTCATTTGGTTTTTCATTATTTTTATTTGGTTTGAAAAAAACCTTTCGGCTAACATTCTAGCATTCATGTTGTGTCATATGAAAAAAATAGTGTCGAATATAATCCAAAAAATTACATATAAAATATTCACACCACACACCACATAATATTTATTGCAATTAATAAACTAATATAAACTGGTCAAAAGATGACCACATATTTTTTTAAATTATTATTCTTAACACTAAAACTATCTACATTTGCTACGTTGCAGTACGATTTCAGCAATAGTCAATGTAGATATCTTATGTACCTATTCATTATTTGTATATTGTAAAACATTTGCTGCATTTGTATGGTTCATAATTTATTTGCCAAAGTATTTATTACTATAAATAGGTATATATATTGTATTTATTAACTGTATATTATGTATATTTCATGTAAACTATATCATTTTTAAAATACAAACCAAAAATGCGAGGAATAATTATCTTTTCCATGTATTCTACAACATATTTATTAATCATTAGTATCTAACGTAATAAATCTCGCTCCGAGGCTGTTCTATTAGAGACGGCATTGCGTCAGCATGGCCGCAAGTTGCTAACCTAATAAAATTAACACTAGAAAAGCCCGCGGGAACTGTCAAATTCAAAGTTATTCGTTTCACAGACTATACCGTGAATTTTGGCGAATGTTCTACAATGAACCTTTTCGCCTGTCTCTGCCCTGGTGAGTTTCTCCACCATTCTAGAGATTTGTTGGCCACCCATCGTTCCGTGACCATTCTCGTGACCGAATTTGCAACGCCGCAGAAGGGTTCTGGGCCTATGAATGGCATTGATGAGCCTTGCTTGGACCTTTCATCTGCCTTTTCGTTACCCTTGTGACCCTCGTGCCCTGGCACCCAGGCCAACGTAACAGTGCTACGTTCGCCCAAAGTATTCAGAGCACGCACACAGTCCCACACTAGTCTAGAATTGACCTCCGCGGAGCCGAGTGCCTTTAGCGCCGCTTGGCTGTCTGTGAAGATGGCCACAGAACGATTTGTATATTATTGCATATTTCAATTCTTCTTTCAATTTTAAACAATAATCGAAATACACAATGTACAGGGTGGGTCAAATTCGACGCTTTTAAATGGAAACACCCTTTTCTATAGGAGATAGACGAAAACTAATATCGGTGTCTGGAGCTCAATTTTCATCAAAAACATGATGGTGAAAACCGCACATCAATATCTGTTACCGTTTCGGAGTTACGGGGTGTTTTTCAAAAATGTGCAATTTTAAAAAATCGCTGTAACTTTTTTGCTATGAAAAATTTTGTATTTCTATGAAAACATTTGCAAAGCACCTTTTTGCGTAGAATTTAATGGTTTAAGTATATATTTTTTTAAATTAATAATTTAAGAGTTATCAAGAGAAAAATTGATTCTTTATTTGGGACACCCTCTATATTTTTAATTAGCTGAAAAGAATTTAAAATTACCTTTCCAAAAATATATCACACTTGATATTTTGTTATAATCCCCTTCGAAATACAGAATTTTTAAAAATTCGCCACTTTTAACTATTAGGCTTTGGACCCCTTATTGATGATATGCCCTTAATGGAACTCGAAAACATATTTCTCCAGCAAGACGACGCACCGCCTCTGAACGCTCAAGTTATCAGCAAATTTTTGCAGCCAATTTCAAGAATAATTGAATAGCTAACCAAGATCCCAGCCGTTGGCCGTCGATGCCGCCTGACTTAGTGCCCATGGATGGGATCCTATGGATATATTTGCGGAAGAATAAAGGTTCCTTATTCTTCCGTATAATCTTGACAAGAATTAAAAATACTTAGCAGTTATGAGAGGGTATCTTTCACCCCCACTGAATTGAATGAATTCTGCGAGAAATTTTCAAAAACTGCCCCGTCTGTCCATAACAGAAGACGGTCGATTTGTCGAACACCTGTAGCAAAATCTCATGTCTTGGTTTGCTATTTATTTTTATTGTTATTAGATATAGTTTAAATGTGTTGATGCTATTTAAATATATTTTAAATTGTTATAAAATTTGCATCTCTCATAGCAAATATTATTTTCGTTTTAATTGATGCTCACAGCTAGAATTTTTTTGCATTACAGCCGATGCCGTTCAAAGCCTACTTATTTTTATATACTTACTCTATATCTCGAAGGGGAATAGAGCAAAATATCAAGTGTGTTATATTTTTGGAAAGGTAATTTTAAATTATTTTCAATAAATTAAAAATATACAGGGTGTCCCATATAAAAATCAAACTTTCTGTTGATAATTCTTAAATTATTAATTTAAAAAAAATATATTTTGGACTGACAAAACGTGACCATACTTCTCAAAAGGTTAAACAACTTCATTGGCTTCGTATGGAGTGCAGATGGCAATGTCATTTAGCTAGTTTTGTTCATAAACTCCTAAATTCCAACAATAACCTGTGTTTTAAGAATATGCTTTCCACACGCTCATCTGTCCACTCGGTTAATATCAGACAGAAGGATAAATTTACAATGCCTCGTTACACTACAGCATTGTTCAAAAGATCTTTCATCTATAATGCTATTACATTACTTAACCGTCTGCCGGTTGACTTCAGGGCATTTAATATTAATAAATTTAAATTTAAAGTCAAACAATTTTTTTTGTGTGAAAACCACTGATCCTGTCTGTGATTCGTTTTTTTTGTTTGTATTGTTGGGGTTTGTCAGCCACTAGGCAAAGAGTGTCAATTTTTTTCAGCTTTTAATCTGGCATATTGTGTAACGTTAAACTTTGTTTCCCTCTAACTGTCGTTATGTTTTATATTATTTAAGAGAGTGCTTTAGTTTTAATAAGAATTATTTTTATGTAATTGTGTCCTGCCAAATCTGACAGTTGTTGTCGACCTGCCGGTTAAGTGGAATAGCATCTCTGCTAGACTTCGCCTGCTGTCGAACGGCAATTGTTGGAAAATGTTATCGATTTTTTTATTACTTATGTATTTCTTCTTTTCTACTAAATAAAGTCCTTTATTATTATATACTTAAACCATTAAATTCTACGTAAAAAGGTGCTTTGGAAATGTTTTCATAAAAATACAAAATTTTCCATAGCAAAAAAGTTACAGCGATTTGTTACAAATGCATATTTTTGAAAAACACCCCGTAACTCCGAAACGGTAACAAATATCGATATGCCTTTTACACCATCATGTTTTTGACAAAATTGAGCTCAGACACCGATATTAGTTTTTGTCTATCTCCTATAGAAAAGGGTGTTTCCATTTAAAAGCGTCGAATTTGACCCAGCCTGTACATAAATTGAAGAATTGAAATGTTAAACAAAAATTTTGTAATTTCCAGACTTGCTATACTTTCATTTTATACATCTATAAATGCTAACTTAAGAATTAATGTCAAATATTATTAAGTATCACAGATTCGGTAAAATGGCATCGTTAAATGAAACTGAACATATCGAAATTAATTAAATCAAATTGTTTAAGTGAACTCGGAAACGGTTGGTTTGAGATACATTGTGTGTATCTCTATTTTTGCTTAGAATTGAAGGAAGAACCGAAATATGCAATAATATACAGGGGATTCCATTTAAAAAAATGAAACTTTGATGTGCCGCGACTTCATGACCGATCCTGTATACTTAAATTTATTACCCGCTAATAGATATACAAACCCTATAACTTTTATATTTAACTTTTTGCGGTACCTCCTATATTTTACCTAATAATCGACCGTTTCCATACTTAAAAGCGACCCTGTATATAAGTTTGCCTTTTTTATCAATGTATTTATGTCTAGTATTAAGTGACAAAAAAAACTTGATTTGACTTGAAAGAGGTTGCACTGTGCTTTAGATTAGTTCAACGGAACCGTCGGAACCCCATTGGGTTACCAAACTTCACTAAATTTGCTAGTTCTACAGCACTATAACCTAACAACTGTTTCAAGTCGCACACAAACTTATATACAAATCGTTTTCCGTGAACTTTTGAGATCATGTCGCCGTCGTAATAGTATCTCAAAGCTCTCGATAATTTTTCGTAATTCATTGTAGGTTTATTCTTGCGTTCGCCCCAGAGATACGCAACTACTTCGGGGTGGGTCAGTTTAAATTCCCCATCTTTACCTGAAAAGCCAAATCATTTACGTATATTACCGAATGAACTAGTGGTAGCTAGTGTATAGAAGCTGTAGCCCCAAAAATATGTATACCATGCTGGCAATTCTTACTTTTGGGTCGGCATTTACATGTGTGGAAGTAAATCGCATAGGGATCTTATTGAGTCGGAGTGAGAGAAATGCGACGGTGTGCTGTTACGGCGTTGTTGCGTTAGCCAGTACGCCTTTCCCTATCAAGTAAGTAAAATAAAATCACGATCGTAAACCGCTTATTTTTAAGACTTTTTTTCTCAAAAAGATAACTAGATAAAGGCATTAGATATGTTTCTGAGCATCTGAAATGGAATTATAAGGTTATCGTAGGGTGTCCATATCTTTTATAACGAGAAAACGTCAGTAACCGCGATAATTTAAACTCAACTTTTTAACATTACACGCGATAACTCAAGAACCCCTTTAGATATTGAAATATTTTTTATTTTGAAGTTCGTATCTTTTACAAGATGTTTGAATGAGAAAAATTTGATAGGATTGTTTTTTCCACTCAAAAATTTAAAAAAAACGTTTACTTTTAGTGCATAGCAATTTTCAGCAATCGTGTGACTTTTTTATTTGTACAGATTTTCACAAACTGTCTCCAAAATATAGCAGAAATATTAAGAAAGTTTTTGAAAAAAACTACAATCAATTATTTCTAATGCATTTCGAGATATCGATTTTTGAATTCAGGGTTCTAATAGCGCGACCACTGTAGAACACCAACTGAATTCCACTTATTTTTACCAAAAGTGCAAGTGTTTCTAACTTGCACTTAAAAATTTACAAGCTATATAGTCGACCAGTCGACCAGTCGACCACGACAAATCTGCTGTATCCCCTTCCATGTCTCTTAGCAATGTGCACAGATTCTCGGTTTATTTCATACATTTGGCAACGTTTTTACTGTTCTCTCTTTGTTCAGTACATTATAAACGCATTGTACTCTTCTTACATACGAAAATCTCGACTCGAAAAAAGACTAACCTTTGCCAGCCCTTAGTAAACGTAAGTAAGAATAAATATATATTATATTACAGAAGTAGCAGGGAACAATGGAATAATCGCTGAAATAGTCTGACAAAAGAACTTTAAAAATCCTAGCAAATATACAGTGCGTCCGGATAATCCATGGACATAGAACTACTACGTATTTTTGGAATTAAAATAAGTTCTTTGGACACAATTTACCTCTATATAAAAGCGCTTTCTTTGTCCGTTAGAGTGCAACAAACTTCAAAAAAATCTTAGAAAAAAATAAACACATTTAAAGAAGAAAACATTTGATCAATGGGTACAACCAGTCAAGACCTATACATGCGAAACCTAGTCACTTAAAACGAACATTGTAAGGAAACTGCAGGTCAAACAACGCTCAATGGAACGAGATATATCCGGGAAAAAATGGAAAAATCAATAGAACTATTGTGTTACTTTCACATGTTTAAAGAGAAAGGTAGGTTTTTGTGTAGAACAAAAAATAATTATTAGTAAATAGTTATATCAAATAATTTAAACAATTAAAATAAAAACAAATATACCATTACCTGTCCACTGAATCACAGATATGTACTCTTTTGTTGTTAACAGTTCAAGTAAAAATTGCCACAGTTGTATCTGTCCGTTGTTGCCAGATTTATTTCCCGCTCCTGAGGAATAAGGTGTGGAATAGTAGTTCAAGGCTGATGAGTAATTTGGCATAATCTTCATCTAAAATATTAATATACTTAATATAAATACCTATAATATACTACTACTCTAACGCCAAATACCTTTACACTTTTAGGTTTAAACTTTGATTCTTTATCATCTGGTGGTCCTTCACTATTATCATGGCGTCTAGTAGCTAAAACACGTTAGGATCGTCATTATTAGTCTCCAGTATGGAGAGTAGAGGTAAGGAGGAACAACTCTTATAAGTCTTTATTGGAAAAAGTCTTTCAGTAAAGAAAAAGATTAAGGAAGGAGCATATCAAAAAACTTCGATCGAGCGACTATTGACGTATCTAGATTCTTTGACATCTAATCTTTGACAAGTAGTAAATAAAAGCAAAAATGCAAGAAAAAATATATAATTAGTTAATTTTAAGTGAATTTCTCTCTCATAAATGATTTGTTTACTACACGTATGTATAATAATAAATAATAATATATTATATTGTATAAGTAATATATTACATGGTAATCGCAAAAACAATTTCCGATGCACGTGATCAACTGAGCGTGACAAGCGATGGCGACAGCGCTGCCAGATTGTGATGGATTTATGAGATGAATGTTAATTTAAAATTGACAAACAACATATTTATTATATCATTTTTTAAAGAGTTTTACGTTTTATTTTTAATTTAATAACTAATATTTTAGTGATTATTTGTTTTATAGATTATTTTACTTATTACATATTGACAAAAACTAGTCCATTATGAAGGTTATTATAAGCGTTATTATGGGTTATTTATTTATTGATGTTCATCTTACAACGCCATAAGTGGTAATAACAAGTAAGAGGGTACTATTAATGCACAAACTATTAATCACTGAATTTAATAAAAACTAACTTTGAAAGTGGTATAATGTGCTTATCAATCAAACTTACTTTTCTGACTGCAGTCAAGGGTAATAAAGGACCTTTATTGTCACATTCTCGTTCAAAATAGTTTTAAAACAACAGGGAAGCTACAAGCTCTTTACTTAGACCTCTGACTTAGACTGTTTAAATGCTTCAGCATATTTTCAACACACAATTTCAAGAAATGCAATACAAAAATTCGAAAATTTAGTTCTTAAAAGAACTGTTTGTGCTTAAAAGTGCAATTTTTAAAAAAACTATGTAAAAAGGCAAAAAACGAGAATTACTCACAAAGATTTAACAACACATTATTATACAAAATAATAACTGACACTAAGATAATTGTCAAATAATAAAGGACAACATTGCTGAACACGGCACAATGTGACCAACATAGCGATAATAAAATTCGGTTTAAACTAATTTTTGCAGCTTTAATCTAAATAAAAAATCTGTTACAATCATTCGCTCTATAAAGTCAAATGAGGAGCTGCTCTGTATCTTAAATTATACAACAAATTTAAACATTTTTGTCAACATTTCATTTAGTCAGGTTTATAGAGTTTAGTGTCAATGTCGATATGATTGATGACGTGCATCGGAAAATGTTTTGCGATTACAATATGTATAGTCACTTACTAATGAAAGTTATTCTATTATTTCCCTCCATTTTTGACCGAAATCTACCGCACGCTGCACAACCAACTATTTTACGGTCTTTTTCGTATAAATCGCAATAGTGTCACTGTTAATTTAATTTCCGCCACAATTTCCTTCCAGATTTACTACCTCTAAACAACTACCAGTTGTAGAATAAATCATAAATAACGTGTAAAATAAGCTCAGAGAAATCCACAAAATTTCAAATCAAATTCAAATGTGTCAAATGAACCGTCAAACAGAACTGTCAAGGATCCCCACATCCATCTATCATGCACAAATACATGGATATCATTATACTCCTTCTTTAATATTTTTATTCGAATGGAAAAAATGGATACTAGACCTGAGTATATGGTTTTGATTACAACTCAATACCTCAACGCGTTCCCGAGATATAAAAAGTCTTAACACAAGAGACTAAGACAGATAAGACTAAAAATGACAGACAATAAAATGTCACTGTCATATACCCTCTCAATGAGGTTATAAGGGGGGGAGGCGACATAAGCTATCGAGAAATGTACCCAGTAACGCCATATTGGTACTGGCAATTCTGACAGTTCAGTTTTTGAGGTTAAGTGCGTTGCTGCGAGTGTTTTTTTAATTTTCCAAGACTATTTTTGTGTTTTTATTTGAATATTTGGACTTTCCGAACATGTCTTCGTGTGCTGTAAGTAGTTGTTGCAGTCGACAACGTGTAGAGAGGAAGAAATCCACTGAAATTGCATTTCACAGGTAAGTGTAAACATAATACAGGATCTGATTAAATTATTTTCGTATTTTCCATTTAACTAGTTATGCGATTATTAATTAAATATTAAGTGTTTCTATATTGACAAAGTGTTTAGTTATTTAATACTTTATTAGAGGCAATTAAGTAATTAAAACATGCTTCGACTTAGTGATGGGTTGTTATTTAACTATCTGTTATTTTATAACAATTATTTAGAAATAACATAACGCAACCGTTACTGCTTTTAAAAAATAACAGATATAAAATAACGACACGCAGAGATCGAGTGTTCGTGAAACGAAGTCGGCGCTCTGCACCGCCACGAAATTCGATGCTGCTCGAAGCAATTCCAAAAAACAACTAGTATGGATGGAAAACCTATTATTTCGACAACCATCGATACAGGCGGCGAGATACAACGGACAACGGAGTGGGGTATGCGCTACGGCGCGGCGCGTCGTGTTGGGCTGACAACAGCTTAAAAATAATAGGATATAAAAGAAGCAGCTTTTTTGAAACAGTTGCGGGCATAACGCCTGGCTGTCGAGATAACAGGAGTGGGAAAGGAGCGCTGCTGCATCGGTCGATTGTCGATGGAGGCTCGCAACGGGTTGGAGAATAACGCATCAGTTGTTTTAGCTATGTTGTTTTTTTACCTGTTACGAGCATAACAGAACGGCGTTCGAGATAATCGGAGGTTTGAAACAGGTTGGAGAATAACGCATCAGTTGTTTTAGATACATATTGTTTTTCAACCTGTTACGAGCATAACGGGCGGAGGTCGAGATATTATGGCGCTGTATGTTTCAATACTTTGTTATTAAGTTTCAATATTTAAGTATTTATTTATTCTGAAAAATTTTCAGAATAATATTTTAAGATTTTTTAAAAATGTATACAGGGTGTTTTGAAAAATCTGGTCATTGATTAATCACGATCCTGCTTAAAGCCCTTGACGTAAAAAGCTGATTTTTGGAAAACGGATTGACTTTAGGGTGTAGAGGTGCGATAAGAAGGGATTTTTCGAAACTCAAATTCTAAGGGGGTGAAACCACCCTCAAATATTAGAATATTTTTTATTTAAAAACTGGTGAGTTTTTCGAAAAAACTCTTAAACACGTATATTTTATTTTGTTGTTTTACATATTTTGAGATTTTTACAAAATATATACAGGGTGTTTCATAAAATATGACCACTGAGTAATCACTATTCTGCTTAAACTGCTTGACGTTTAAAGCTGATTTTTGGTAAACGGATTGACTGTGGGGTGTAGAGGTGCGATAAGGAGGGGTTTCTCGAATCTCAAATTCCAAGAGGGTGAAAACGCCCCTCAAATATTACAATATTTATTATTTAAAAAACGGTTAGTCTTTCGGGAAAACGATTGGACACGCATAATTTATTTTGTTTTTTTACATATTTTGAAATTTTTTAAAAAATAATACAGGGTGTTCCAAAAAGTTGAGTAATTGATTAACCACGATTCTGCTTAAACTGCTCGACGTTTAAAGCATATTTTTGGCAAATGTGAGAAAATTTTATCCAGTTTGTATGTTAATGGAAATTCTTGCTTTGCTTTATCATCACCATTACAAATTAATAATTCGATGCGAACGAAGTCGCGGGTACAACTTAACAAGTATAGCTAGAGACGTGAGAAATATAAAATAAGAGACGCCCCCCGATGCGCAGTGGACATCCCACAAATTTGCTTCAATCAGATTTTTCGTAGCGTAACTGCATCTCTCTTCCGCCGAATGCGTTCTCTCTCTATCGTGTGCGCGACCGGTGCTATCCCCAAGTCTCTTCCTATATTTGTCAAACTGTACATGCTAGTTTAAGTGTAAAATTAATTCGAACTCTAGTGTGTAGTTGGTTTACTTATGAAGAATATACTACACATTTTCTTATATTGCTATTTTTTGACCGCAAATGGTAAAATCATAACGAAGAGCTTCTCGCCCGTCGAGTGAGATGCACCCTGTACACTGCTACGCAATTCAGAATCTACGCGGATCGAGGGGTAGGGCGTAGGTAGATCGGAATTTATAGATATAGACGAGTGGCGGCATTTTGGCTTTTTTATATCGCAATTTGTAAACAGCGCTTATTTGTAAACAACCCCCGTTTTTAGAGAGGTATTTTAGATAACAATCGATATTTAGAAATGTTATGACACCCTGGAAATACTACCACCGAGCACGTCATTGTTGCAACTGCGTTAATACGCCTGGCGGTGACCGCCTCATATTCTTTCAGATATTTAGCAATAAAATAAAGAAACCTGTTATTTTTAAGCTGTTATTTTAAGCTGTTTTTTATAAATAACTATAACAGTTTCAACTGTTATCTAAAAATAACAGTTTTGCCCATCACTACTTCGACTTCTATTCTTGTAAAAAAAATTCTTAACAATATCTGTTATTTTTACTACATATACTTTTTTTGACAGGAAAGAGTATTTTGCTAGGCCAAATTTAAAAGTTTTGTTTTAACTACGGTTTATTTTTCTATTTTTACACTAAGATTTTGTACTTAAACATTTATTTACATTCCTTTTTAGCATCTGCTAGCATATACTATGTACAAACTTTATATAGTATAGCTTCAATTTTTAGATAAATATTATAAAATCAACAAAGTAAATTTACTTTTTGCAGATAAAGTCTTAACAACTTATATTTATTGATAAACATTTATTATTTTAATAAAATTTTATATCAGAACATTTTAAATTTAGTACGTAGTATATAAATTTTGCTCTCTTTAGAAAATTTTTATCAAATAAATATTATATTAAATTTGATTTTTAGGTTTCAAAAATCCCATCCGTCGAGAAGCTTAGGTGAAGTTTCTGAACAGGAGAAACTGGCAAGCTACATCAGGTAGTGTTCTATGCTTGAAACATTTTTCTGATAGCTGTTTTGACAGAACATCTCAATAAAATATCTCAAATAAATAATCATTTCCTAAGATTTCTAAATTTTAATGATTATCAAAATGTTAATTATGGTAAATCAGTAATCATGTTTAATTATTTTCCGCTTTTTTTCTAATTTTTTTTAAAAATCTTAAGGTTATTATTGTTAGATACATCAATAAAAACAAGGCAATTAGTTTAAAACATACTAGCAACAAAACAGTGTTATTTAGTGATTAATAAAATTTAATTTATTTAATGTGTATTATTTTTTTGTGTTTCCTCCTTAAATATACATAGTATATAGTCATTAAAATTAATCTTGTAATTTATATTTTTGAAAAAATTGTAGGTTTTGTAGTTATTTTGATTAATTAATTTTTTATTTAAAAAAGTTGAGGTCGTTATATTGTGTAAAATAAAATTTTTCAAAGAAGTTTCTGTAATCCGGCCCTGCTAATGCCGCCATATTGGTGCTGGCTTAAGCCACGCCTAGTGTTACCATTTTTCGCAAGCACTTTAAATGCTCATAGCGTCTCCCTGTATATAACCTCATTGTACCCTCTCATTTAAAAAATGTATGCAACCAGCCATTCTTACCCACTACTTTCATTTGTCGCAGCAATTCTAAATGTGTCCAGAATACATCGCCGGGATCGTTGGGAACGATTTTCTGGAAATCTTCCATGGTTAGCTTGTACAAGTCCTTGCCACTGATATTCCAATCGCTTAACTTAATATTTGACAGATTAAACTGTCTTACTGCCCACTGTAGCCAGTGCCTTACATGCAATACTGACCTAAAAAAATAGGGTTATATAACACTTGCAAACTCAGTGGGAAAGTACACAATACGATCGATAAAAAACGGCGCCCAGTTGGGCTGAAAATGACGATCGATGACGTTCTTCATACAAAATGACAGCATCTTCATTTCTAAGCCATCTGTGACGCCGTTTTTCGAAGTGAAACTTCTTCTCGCGCGTTGGGAATAAAAATTCAAGGCCGTGACACAAGAGCGCGAGACGGAAAGTGGTAAGGACAGCCTACAGTGACGCGACGTGTATTTGTGAACAGTCCAAGTGTTTATCAAAAATTATAATATTTTAATACATATTTTTTAAAGGCTGTACTTAAACTGCCGTTAAACGGTAGCTTACTAAAATGCCGTTAATTGGTATAACGTCGTTGATGTGACGCACTTGACGGCTTTATGAAATATAGAAATTTTATAAGGACTAACCAACGCTATCCACCCCACCAAATAACCAACTTAACCAACGCAACTAACCTCGACACTGATAAAAAATATAAAAAAACAAATATAAATTAGTAAAAATCAACCAACCCCACCAAATAACCAACTAACCAATGAATTAGTTTTTTTATGGTTTAGTATTTAGTTTGGGGTCGTAACACTCTGGCACTTTGTGCCATTGTATCGGTTTTTTAATCGCGGTGCGATCCCTTTAGATACACATTTATTAATACTAATATTATTCTGTAAAACTTAATGGGGTCTAATAAAGAAATTTGAATTTGAATTAACACCCTCTAAATAACCACGCTAACCAACCCGCCAAATAACTAAACCAATCCAACTAAAAAGAGTGAAACCAATGCAATAAGATCACGCTATAAGCCAAAAAAAATATATAAAAAAGTCTTGGTCGGCGTGAGAATTGAACCACGGACCATTCGCTTACGAAGCGATAGCCTCAGCCACTGACCCACAGGTGCTCTTGCAGAATGCTTAAGGCTAGGCATTACTTTCCGCCGACATGAACGACGTCACAATATCTATTAACGGTATTTTAGTAGGCTACCGTTTAACGAATGTTTAAGTACATCGTTTTTTAAAAGTGCATCAACTTATTAATTAATTTTTTATTTTACACCAAAAAAACTATTTTTTACGCGTTAAAACTATTTGTTACACGTTAAAAACTATTTTTACACGCTAAAAACTATTTGTTACATGTAAAAAACTAATTGTTACACGTAAAAAAAATATATTTTTTTAATTTATTACTTTTTCAACATTTCAAACTACACTTTTTCAAACATGTCACAACAATAATTTTTTTTTGATTGTCTAATATAATATTACAAACCATTCTTCCGGATTTAAAGGTATTTTTAATCTGTCTTGCTCTCTTTTATACTGTAAATCAACCTGCCACTGTACAACGTTCTTTGCAGCTTCCGTTTCTTCTAAATCTTTTGCTTCTTCTACTTCTACAGTACTACTTGATCCCTCTGTAATTATTATAATTTTGTTGGTATAATCTGTTGCCTCCTAGTATAATACACTTACCCATATCGACATAGTCATCGGCTGGTTTTAAGACATCGATTATGTTGATTTTCTTAAAATTCGGTTGCACTTGAGCATTAACCTGGACCAAGCCTTCGCCCTGTACGCATTGATCAACTAGATTTTTATGATCTTCAAGCTAAAAAGAGTGTCTTATTTTTATCATTTTCAGAGTTGGTTAGGTTAGGTTTAGAGTTTAATGTGTAAGATAATGACGAAGCTAACATAGTGGTGTAAAAATGAGACAAACCATATTTAGGTAAAATATGAGGCATAAATATTAATATACATTAAAAATTAGACATTTTTATGCCTAATTTTTATCTTTTTATTGCATATTTACGCCAGCATTGAATATAAACGATAATAGAAGTGCCTCTAAACCAACATTTTGTGACTGTCTTATTTTTAACCCACCATGTCTCATTTTTTGACTTTTTATAGGTTAAAAATGGGACACTCTTTTCTGCATACTGACTTACTTAGTCTCATTGTCATTTTTGACAATGACTTACTCAAGTCTCATGTCTCATTTTTACACCACTTGACCCTAATGGAAAAATTAAACATGTAAAAAAAAGGTTATAGAAGGACCAAGCCAGTATATCTAACCATTTGTGTATCTTGTAAAGCAAAAACGTAATTTGCAAGGTTCATGTTCAATTTCCTTTCAATCAGCTTCCTCAATTTCGACAGAGGTTCCCGGATATCCATATGTTGCATAACGTAATGAGAGGAAGGATCTACCATGTTCATAAAATCACTATCTAATTCATTCATAAGGTTTTCCTCAAACTCTGCTACGCTGTCCAACGAATGTATAATACCTTTAAACAAATATATAATATAACAATTGAGACCGTCTGTTAATATATAAACATTAAACCAACCAAGGTGCTCCGGGTCAGTTAAATGAGAAATTCCGTCGTTCTCTGAATCATTACTGACACTGTTTTCCTCCGAATCTCCTTCCAAGCTCATTGCCGATATGGACGTAGGAGGGTCGTATTCTCTCATATTGCCGTCGTCGTCCAAAACGTATCTTAAAATATAATTGAGTATTTATTTTTAGTACTCCAAAAAAATGATTCGCTTACTTTTTATTAGGATCCGTTTGTGAGGTACAAATTTTCTGTCCGAAATCGTTCAAGCTTAGAATAAATGTTTGAGTTTTTATTTTGTCCATTTTACCAATGAAAATAACACAAATAAACGAAAGGAAAATGTATATTTGGAGAAAAATCTATGAAAATAACAATTTAACCTATATTTCTTATAAATGACACTGACAGGACTTCGGAAATATATGTTGCCGTCTTTGTTTATTTTTGTTGTTCCTTGTCTAATAGTTAACCATAGATTACAATTTGGACTCTTTCGTTTTTATTATTTTTGTAAAATAAAAGAAGAAAAAATATATAACGAATCTGTGGTTGTCCATGTTACGAACCATTTTTTTGGAAAGAAGAAGAAAATTACAGATATTCTGTGGTTACAGGTCTTTTAAGTCCTGAAATACAAAAAAGAAGAAGAGTGCTTGTGGTGCCATTTTGGAAAAAGTGACTAAATTTCGAACTAAAGTATTTGCTAGGTTGCCAAGATATTAGCGAAATCCCGAAACTAATCTAGATCAATATTTTTGTAAGTTTAAAACGAATTAAACTGTTACGAAATAATGATATATCTAATAAACATATAATATAAAAATTATTTCTGTAATTAATAATATTTTTTTAGACGCAGCTTTTTATCTATTTTCTATACCCAACAAAATAGTTATTTTATTTCACATCAGTTCAATCCGACAATCCCGTTTTCTTAGGAGTTGTTTTTATGTCACTCTTAAGAATTTTTCTGATTTTTTGATAGAAAAAGTGATTTTTCTGTACACTATTTGAGTGTATTCTGTTTAGGTACTGGTTTATTATCTTATATTGATTTTAGGATTTTGCTAATATCTTGGCAACATTGCAATCACTTTAGTTCAAAATTTTCTCACTTTCTCTACAATGGCGCCACAGGCGTTCTTCTTCTTTTTCATATTTTGGGTCCTAAGAGAACAGCGACCACAGAATAATGTAATGTTTTTCTTCTTTATTAATTTAAGAGCCTAAGCTACTAAGACTATTCGGCTACTTAAAAAACTATTTTCTACTTTAATGTTTTTTACTCATATGATTAGAGTCCAACCCTGTTTGGGCGAGGTTTCCTGGCATGAATCTATGGTTTTCTGTTTTGTTTACGTGTACAACAGAACTACTTACTTAAATGTTAAAAATAATATAAAATTCATTTATTATTAAAGCAAGTATCCCTTGTAGAATTGTAACAATTACATTAATCTACAATGGAGAAAGCAGCTCATGAATACTTTAAACAATTAAATCCAATAGCCTCAAGAATTTATTCAGATCTACAAGACACCAAGGAGGCTTACGAAGATTTATGGTGTAAACTTACTGAAGACGAGAAAAAACAGATTCTTAACGAAAGTATTATAAAACCAGAGATTTTACTAAAATATCGTTCAAAGAATGACCCTATTAAACAAGATTACGAACAGGATATGGGTTTAGATGATCACTGTTCGTTTCGAGACGAACACTCTGCTCCCTTTAGCTTTAGAACAAAAAGTCAGAAGAATTTAACCATTTTTAAGGATGATAACAATACAGTGGTAAAGAAGAACGAAGTACTACCTAAAAAGAAAGCCAAAGCTCCCCCAAAGGTACTTTTTCAACATTTTAAGCTAAATAGATACTTAATATTAAATAATTTCAGCCAAAAACAGTTACAAACTACGCTCAAGATCTAAACTTAGAAGAAATATCGTGTTTAACAACAGAAGAGTCGCAGGATTCAAAGCTACCAAAGACAGGCTTAGATTTCCTTGATAATTGGTAGTTTCAAGTACTTACAATTTATAGTACTACTTAATAGTTATAGTTATGTGGTTTTGTCATTTTTAAATGTATCAAATTGAGCCAGTATAGGTATATCTGAATTGAATAATTTTATACAAGACTGTCTATAAACCTAAGATAAATTATATTTATTTTATTAATATATTTTTGCAGATTTTATTTTATACAAAGTTGCTAGTTTGTATTCAAAATATACTTGTATTACCTAATAAAACTAATACCTTAAAAAATATGTTTATTTATTATACAAATAAATTTCACACAAACGTTTTCCTTTTTAATTATACAGGGTATTTCTGAATAAGTATCTGTGATTTTCAAGTATTTTTAAGATAAAACGTTTATATTTATGATGAATTTTCAAAGAAATTTGTGGGTACCTTTTTTTTCTTCAAAAACATTAAGTCGATACCGCGTGCGCACGCCACTGGTGAAAATTTTCGAAAATATTCTTCATAGAAAAATACCCCTTAATGGTAAACAGACGTGTACCAAATTTCATAAAAATATCTGGAGTGGTTGCTAAGATATAACATAAAAACGATTTTTTTTCCGCAAAACTTTAACACCCTGTATCTCGAGAACGAAGCATTTTAGAACACGTGATTATATGAGCTTTTTATCTTAAAAATTCTTGAAAAATCACCCTGTATTATTAATTTTTAGATTCCTTTGGTTCTACACTTTTTTAAATAAGAAAATTAAAGATAATTTTTATACCAAAAATGTATTTTACTAAAATAAATCCAAAATAACAAAAAATATCGAATAAATTCAAACATTTGGTTTTGATATTTGTATATAAAACTGTTTTATTATTATAATCACTCTGAAAAAAATAAATGTGCATTTTTATATACAAAAAAAAAATAATTTAAAAACAACAAATAGATTACTTAACTGAAAAAAAGGGATCTCTATTTAAAACTTTTTTTTTATAAAATACTACCAACGGCCGACTCAATTTCAGTCTCATTTTGAGAATGAACGATTTGATCTGAATCGGATAAATCGTCAGTCAAATCAATTATTTCCTGTTTTAAACTCGAAGTTATAGATTCGATTGCTGAGTCTAATTCCTCAGCCTTAGGCCTGGAAAAGAAATATATTCCGTTATCGGGCTTTTATTGTCATTAATTTGATAGCTGAGTATTTTCTTTCATATTAACAATGTACTATATATTGTACAAAAATGATTGGTAATCACATCCCTCGAGTAAACTGCCATTGAATAAAAAAAATTTTCATTGCAAATGAAAGTTCCAAGGGACCAAATCGAAAGGAAACTACAGGAGGGGCGGCTGACACTTGCTTGGGATCATCCTCCACAAGTGGCACACAAGCAACCACCTTCTCCAGCAAGGGTCGGGAGCCTACCTCTAGACCCAATAAGCGACATAAGCTAGCGTTTCGTCTACCCCGCCTGGGTCAATCAGGCCGGCTAGACGGTCCTCTGAGAGTAGGTCTTAGCGGAGCAGAAGCACGGAGATACCTCCGACTGCTCCACGAAGGACTTGCTCCAGAGGAAGCAAAAGCGAAAACACTCCTCCGAAAAGGGGAGAGTAAAGAAACCAAGAAACAAACTGACTCATCTCCATCAAAGGGTAAGAGTGGGAGCGAGAACCTCTCACCTCTTCTCCGGCAGGGAGAGAAAAAATCCAGGATGGAAAGCCGTCCAACACCGGCAGGCAAGCAGGGACGTATCACCAGCTTTGCCGCTATTGCTGGACAAGTGAAAATGGTGGTGCTGCCAAAGAATTTCCCAGAGGTTGCTCTGACCACCGACCAGCAAACGTCTCTAGAAGAGGCTATACTAGAAGTAGTGGCGATCGGATCGCAACACCACGATCTACAAAATGTGGGTCAGTTGCGTTTTGCGGGGATACACTTTCGGGTGGGCATGATCCTCATAGATTGTGTATCTCAATGAATTGGTTGGTGGAAATCGCACCTAAGCTTAAAAATTGGCAAGGGCCGGAACTGGTTGCAGCGAAGGGAGAAAACATCTCTAAAGGAGCGGCCATAACGATTTTTCTGCCGAGGAGCAAGGGGAAAGACACCACCTACCTGCTGAGCCTTATCCAAGGTCAGAGGTCAGAACTTCAATGTAAGGACATCGAGTTGGCGAGTCATCAACTCGAGGGAGGAGGGTCATCCCAAGTAGCATTTGGACGTTATCTAACGTCGGGTATACGTCCCGTTCAATAAACCCGACGTCGGGTACCAACGTCGGTTCGACCGCCTGACGACCCTTATTTGCACCTAAATGGGGAATACAGATTCGGGTCGCCTCGACGTCAGTGTCTGACCTAATAGGGAATGTAATTCTACCAATTACCAACGTCATATTACGATGGATTTTAGTCACTTACAATATACCAATTCCGACCGGGTCTCCAACATTAGTCGTCTCACACGACCAAAGTCATCAAACCGGACGACCGGCAATCGTATTATGACGTATATAATTCCAACGTAACCTCACTTCGCGTATCAGTGATTTGTGGATTTGTGCAACTATATTTTAGTTTTTGTTTTCTCTTTAAAAAAATGGGCAGCCACTTTTTTAAGATAGTATATACAAAATTTAAAAGAATTGGAACCAGTACCTCACATGTAGGAGGAGGATGGGGTCTGCTGGTTTCCTAAGCTAAAAAATGAAATTAAGATGCACCAGTGTAATGCAGCATCTCTTCCGGATAAAAAACATTCGTGGACAGAGGGAAAACATCACTACTACTATTATTATTTTGCAAAAGCCTCGACCTCTTTCTGTAAAATGTATATGAATGTCTAAATGCATTTTTAGTGTTTTTTTAGGCATAATAAAAAAAATTAAGTTTGTTTACAAAAACTTTTTATTAGGTTAGGTTCATGATGTTTATTAGGCCGCAAATGCTACTTAATGGGTTGTATTTACGGACGTAAATAGAGATACGTAAATTAGGTTAAAAATATGATCATAAAATACAACAAAATATAATTGGACGTTACTTTAGAGATTATCAGTGAGACGTATCCTATTCGGACAACGGGTAGACGTCGGGCTAGTTCAAGTATAGGTACGTCGTGCAAGCCAACGTTAGAATGACGTTGGGAAATTAATAAAAATGGTACGTTGTTATTTAGTACGTCGACAGATCGTTGGATTTACCGACTCGGATCTAACGACGTCACTTTTAATAGGAAAGCGACGTCACCAGTCGTATCACCAGCACCCGACCTAAATTTGCACAAAGTCTGACGTCGCTTCAGGTCAGATTTAGTTCGAAGTCAGATAGATGCTACTTGGGCATGGTCAGGACCTCACAATAGGAATTGACCTCAAATCCAAGGAGGCAATAGAGAAAAAGGGACAAACCAAACCAAACACCGGTATCAGGTCTAAAGAGAGACCAAGTTAAAAAGGTGGAGAAAATGGAGACAGATCCTCCAGCCTCCACCTCACGGGTTCCTCAGACCTCAAAGCTCCTCGACTATGAAGAGCGGCACGGAGGGTCAAACTCCAACCGTGGAAGTGTGTGTACCCTCGGAGGAAGAACTGTTGTCAGAGGAGGATGGGAAATACCCTGTCCCCTCTACAACAGGGGTATGATGGTTTATAGTTTGTGTGATGACTCAAGGAAGGGGGGTACAATAGATCTTTAAAATCGCAGTGATTAACCCCCCCCCCCTCTTACTCATTCTACAATCTACAACCCATAAATTCGATAGGTTAGTTTTTTGGCTCGCCCTAATGTACACATTGACATTGAATCGTAATCTCTAATGAAATAGACTATAGATTGATTATTACCTATTACCTAAGAAAATTCCTTATATTTTTTTTATAATTTTCTGGTTGGTTTTGGAAATTTTTTACTTCATTATCTCTAGTATCTTCCTCATCTGTATCAGAACCCATCTGGTTATTCTCCTGATTTTGTTGCGACAATGTGGACAAAGTTTCACTATTGCCGTAAACTTGGCTATAATCTAAACGACATAAATACTCATAATTATTGTATAAAAGATGATCAAGTCAATGCCTAAAGAATACAAGGACGCGTAACGCACATATATCTTCTTCTAGAAGATGCGAGACCTTGTTCTTGTTGAGGAAGCTCCTAGTCAAGTGCTAGAGAGAATCCCCTCTAAACAATTTTATAATAACAATTTTTTGGTTGGTGTTTTTGGTCCTTGTATTCTTTAGTCAAAGTATAACAAAGTATACAAAATATTTCACTATAGAATTATTTTCACCTGAATTGTGATTATCCTCCTGCTTCATATTGGAAAGTTTGGAATTTAAACTAAACGATTTGAGAGGTGGGAAAGCGTCTAACAAGTTCCAATCGAAATTCACGTGAATCGCCATGTGATGCTGCAGCTTTGTATTGGCATTGTGATATCTAAAATTTATTAAATTTAATAAAAAAAATATTTAACATAATATAAAAATAATATGTTGTATATTTATTGTACCTGCCACAAATCCTACATATAAACTTTGACCCGTCTAACAAGTCCATATGGGTACTTCTTAAATGCTTTTGTAGAGTCTCATAATCCGTGTTTATCTTCAAACAAATTCCACAAACTGTAGCGGAATCTTTCTTGTGACACCTAAAGATAACAAAATAAAATTCCGCCTTAAAAAAATCTTACAAAATTGAAAAAATTGCTAAAAAAATTGACGCTAAATTAAAGGTTTATCAAGAAAGAAAAGACTCCAAACATAATATATACTATGTTTCGACAGAGGATGACAGAAAAATGGCAGATGACGTCCATACCAATCCATTTATTTCGCTAAAGAAAGTTTATATTTTTTTAAAACACAGACAGATTTGACCTTGACAGCTTATTAACACAGTGGCGTAGATGCGTATAATAAAAACACAATAAACAAACCACCAATAAAGTTTGATACCATCTCGTATGTAGTACTAAAAACTGGAGTAGTTACACAAAAAAAATATTAAAATATTTTATTTTATGCATGTTGTGTTTTATTTATTCCAGTGCAATATTAAAACTTTTTTTTATCTGTACACAAGTTATACTGATAAATATACCTACCCTGTACAAACAATTAAATATTTACATAAAATACAGTATGACCGAAAAAAAAAAACTGCGTCAAGTTACCTAGGAAATATCGTTCAGTCATCCAGAATTACCGCTTACCTTATGAAATGTTGCCACAGATGTTTCTTGGCAGGAAACGACTTATGACAAATTTGACACCAAGCAGGGTCGTTGCTCTCAACATACACGGTTCTCTTGAAATTATTTGTACTAAATTTAGTAGAATCAGGAGATTGTATTATTTTGTCCTTTGGTTCTAGAAAATTATACTAACTTAGTTATAATTTATTTGTTTTCTCTATCACAAAAATATACATACTATCTTTAGAAGATTTTAAACCATCACTTTGTTTTAATGCTTTATATAAATGATTTTTATTTTTGCTACTTTCGTCAATTATATCCCGAGTCTCTTTGGCAACCAAACGTTTTTCCAGTAAAATCATTTTTTCTTCGTTTGAATTACTTAATTGCTGGTCTAAATGTCTTTGTTTCTCATTTAAATCAACCGATCTATGATCATCATACTCTAAAAAAATCAAATACATAAAAAAATACCACACGATCGAAAAAAAAGCGGCGTGAAAGATGGTCCGACGATAATTTTGTCGAGGTCAAGCCCTAGAGACGTCATTTTTTTAGCCCCTACTCTTCTGTATTTTTAATGGTGCTGGTTGCCAGTTGGTTGCTCTAAGAAGCTTGTAATTTATTTTTATATTGAGTAAAAATTACTTTTAAATGGTGTATCTAGTTTAAAATTTGAGAAAAATTATTTTTTGGAAATAGATTTGTGTCTGTGTTAATTTTTGACAAATTTTATGTCAATTTTTAGTTAACGACCGTCTACAGGGATTGATCTTGCCAAAATTATCATCGATTGTCATTCCCTAGCCGTTTTTTTTATCAAACAGTACATTCTAACACTAGTTTTCATATTAAAAATGTACTAAACATCGTACAAAAATTTCGGGTAATCACATCCCTATTTAACTGTAATATTTAAACGGTAAATATTTAAAAATTTTGTTTAAATGCATCATGTATTAAGCCAGTCGTCTTTGATGGTTTTTTCTTTATATACCTTCACTATCTGTATATTCACTTGCACTATTCAGGTAATCCATACCGATTGTGATTGCATCACAGTTAGAATTACTTTCTTCAGATTTTAACAGATCACAGGGCTTTGTACTAGTTTTCGATTGTACATTATTAGGTACGCTATGCTTTATATGAACTAATTTTACGTGATCTTCCAACTGCGTTTCGCTGTCGAAAAGCTCCAAACAAATCTACAAAAATTTTATTTGTTATAAAAAAGTATTAATTTATTTCGTTTCTGAAGCAATTACGTGAACAATAGAAAATATTTTTCAGATTGCTCAAACTTCACATGAAATAATAAGTGTAACGCTGATAAATGATATTAAAAATGTACTAAATACCGTACATTTTTTTAAACAATAACATCCCTTGTTGTCACATATTTACCCTGAATAGTAATTCCTAGTAAAACGGATTAGATAAAAGACAAAATCTCAAATATGCAGATATAATACAGGGTGGCTCATCTCATATGAAGCAGAGGCTTCCAGAAGAATGACAGTTTGAATAGCATATGTAGCTTAAATTATGGCATTTCTTAAAAATATATAGAGTTCTACAGGGCGTCTCCAAAGAAAATTACACACCAAAATTGTATTTTTTGTAATGGAGCAAGAATAAATAAAAAAATGCATTATATACATACCCTGCAAACCTTAAAAGTGCTCCCGTGACTCTTTTTTACGTGATCAAGTGTTTTCCTTTTGGACCCATAATGGTTGCCGCAAACCGGACATGACGTCAGAGGATTTAGCTGGTGTTTATGCACGCACGTCACGTGATCTCTGAGAATTTTCTGGTTCTCAAATCGCTTCAAGCAAAAGCTGCAACTCAAACTTAGCAGTTGATGGTGCATGCTTAAAATGTGCATTTTCAATTTCATCTAAAAAGTTTTATTAATATGTATTAGAAAAACTGTTTTTTTTATTATACAGGGTCTGCATGCAGTAGGGCGTCGGGCTAAAAGAAATATAAATCGGTAAAATTTACTGTCAAAAGAGCGATATGTAATATTACACCGCGAATATCTGCAAAACCGTTAAAAATTTCGAAACACTTTAAATATTAAAAATGCTTTAATTCTGCATCTATAAAAAATAATATACAGGGTGTTCCGTTTGAAAAAAAAACGAAGAAAAATTATTTTATATTTTTTAAAGTTTGGCGTAGCATTTTGAACACCCTGTATGATTTAAGATAACGATATTTATAGCAAAGTAAATACAGACCAATCTATAGTGAGTACTTAGTATAGACTTGATTTCAGGACATTTCTTGTATGTTTAATAATGTTTTAAAAGGGCTGAAAAATAGATTTGTTTTTATTTAATTATTAATATTCTCTAAAACTATTGAAACAAATTTAATAATAACTTAGGATTATATAAAGTGATCAGAAAGGAAACTAAAAATACAATAATATACAGGGTGTTCCATTTAAAAAACATCATCCCGATCCACTCACACTTTTTTGAGAGTTAAAATATTTTCCCGAAATCAATTCTATATAGTACATACTGTAGATTTGCACCGAAACAAAATTTCTAAGTTTTTTATTATATAAGCTACAGATGCCCGACGCACTCCTGAATGGCCCTGTATATAAAAAGTAACATCATGAATCTTAAATAACCCCGTATATAAAAAGTAACATCAAAATAACAAGACGTATAAGAATAACTCTAGATTTATCTATAATTCATTCTTATGTATATACATAGGACACCTTGTATTAGTTATTAAATTAATTTTAGAAATACCGTATGATCGAAAAAAAAACGGCGTCATGGTATTAACTTTACCTTGCTGTCTAAGGTATCTGCACAAAACTGGCAGACATATGAATTCTCGTGGTTTCCTAAATGGCCTAGTAGATCTTTTTGACACCTCAGTATATTCTCGCAAACCGAACATTCCAAATGACTAGACGGATGTTCAAACCTAAAAAATATCCGTAAAAAGTCGCAGATAATATACCGTATAATCGAAAAAAAAACGGTGTCGCAGTAACCTTTGAAAAGTCCTTGAAATGATCCTTTGTCCTCCCTATATCATATACGTAAAATCCTGTATAAAAATAGCAGCAAAAACTAAACATTTAATTTAAATTTTAGTTCTGGAGTTTCGCGAGCCACTGCGACACATTTTTTTTCTCGGTCGTATATTGTGGTACTTAAAAAATACCTTATATGACTAACGATATCACATTTGCTTTGGAATTGTTCTTTACATATTTCGCAGTTATAATCAGAATGATGGTTTATTATATGTCGGGCCAGTCTTTTACGGTCTCTAAAGACTTTTGCGCATGTCTTGCATTTAGTTAATGAACCTTTCTGTAGACTAGAACTGATAATATTTGATTTTTAACATATTAAAGCCAATAAAAAACATGTAGAGTTCAAGTTATTTACCTGCAATTCTCTTGGTGGCTGTCTAACAATGCCTGTTTAGTGAACGTTTTAGAGCATTTTAAGCATTTCAACACACCCTCATCTTTAATATTGTCATATACATCAGAAGAAACATGAGTTTCTATTGCAGCTATTTTTTTATCCAAAGAATTACTGCTTTCATGCTCAGAAAACGTTTTTAAAGAATTACTATCACAATCTGTATGCCCTTCTTCAAAATCCTGCATATAAATATTTTTAAAAAGTATGGAATTTCAACAAAAGAATAATCTGAACGATCGAGAAAAAAAACGGCGTCACAGAAGGCCGGGCAAGGACGATCGATGATAATTTTGGCGATATTTGGCAATCTCTATAGACGTCAAAATTATCATCGATTCTCGTTTCCCCCGACCTTCTATGACGCCGTTTTTTTTTCGATCCAACGCTTTTATTGTTTTACCTCCTGTACATCGTGATCTTTATCTACCGGATCGACGAAATTATCGTTTTCTAAAAAATTATTATGCCTTTTACGAAAATGCTGAGCCAGGCGATATTTCGAGGAGTTCGTTTTGAAGCAAATTTGACAGGTGACACAAGGATGGTTTTTGTGTTTTTGCGTTACGTGTTTCCATAGAAGTGATTTGTGCTCATAGAACTACAAAAGATTAATAAAATGAGATGTCAAAAATTACAAATATAGTAGTATGGCCCTGGATTGTCTTTAGTAGACGAAAAACTTTTTTATTATTGACATTTTGAGAAAAATGTATTCTTCATAAAAATTGTTGCTTGTTCTAAAACGGTTAATCCCGTTTATACTTTTCCAAATTTGCATACCGTTTTAGAAAAAATTAAAAAAAAACATAAAAATATAGTTGAAAGTCCTAGAAATGAACAGGTGCTTCTATGGTAATATAATTTAATAATAATAATAATAATAATAATACATTAAAAACGTTAATTTCTGTATAACTATCATACTTTTAATTTAATTCTATTAAATTCTATACTAACCTTACTACACAAATCACAATGATATATAGAATGATCACTTCTGCGATGAGCTGAAAATTTACTAAACGTATCAAAATCTGACCTATTACATTCCAGACAGGTGAAATACTTAACAGGAGATGAATGGACTTTGTTCAGATTTGAATTAATTGCGATATAATCCTCTGGATCAAAATTTCTAACCTTAAAATATATCTAATATGAAATATCACCAATATATTGATATTAATTACATTTTAAGACATGCAAAGTCTCTCATTAGACAGAATATAATATTATATAGTTTACCTCTTTTTGGCAGGCTTCAATTAGGAACTTATGAAACAAAACGTGATTTTCCAGAACTTTAAAGTTATCTTCACCAAAATAACAGACTTCACAATAAAATTTGGTTGATACTGGACTTTTTAACATACATTTTTCTACGTGATCTTTTAGTTTTGAACGTGTATCAACTTGATAAAGGCATACACCGCACAGAAACACTGATTCGTCAGAATGATTCAGTTGTAAATGTAGAAATAGATCGTTTTTATTGGAAAATATAGCTGGACAATTAGGACAGATAAATGTGGGGTGTAAAGATGGCGTTTTGTCTGGAGATTCATCTAAAAGTCAAGATTTTATCACTCTACAGGGCGTTCCATTTTTCTGTTTCATGGTAGTTTCTCGTTTATGAGTAGCGATATAAAGATGTAATTTTCACATCACTATACCACTTTTTTATGAAACTAATTAAGATTTATAATATATCTTACCCAAGGGTTCAGTTTTGATCAAATCATTAATATTAACTAAATCAGGCAAATCTTTTTTTTCCATTGAGGCATCATGCAAATTAAATCCATCCATAAATTCATCATCCTGATTACATTTTCTTCTATTTCCAGAATTTGATCTACGTATCTTAGTCCATGTGCTTTCTATATGTTCACCTTTCCTTTTATGTTTATTGCCCCTCTCAGATCTGTGATTTACCTCATCTGAATCATCTCTATAGCAAAAGTTCTGGCTACTTAATGAGCTTATCGAATGAGATTCGTTAAATGAAATATCTTCAGTCTGGACAGACTTACACTCTTTGGACAGAGATATAGAAGCTAAACAGCTTTTATCTTTTCTTCTCTGACTCTTTAAACATGATTGTTCAATGTCTAACTTTGATTCTAAGATAATTATATTTTGCAGACAATTTTTTGTAAAAACGTAAAAACTCTCTATTTTGTTATGGCACTTTTTACAAATGGAATCAGGTAAGAGAGAATGTAAATCAATCTACAAATAAATAGGTATTAAAAAGTAATAACTAAACTACAAAAACAAAACTTACTATTAAAGGTAAACAAGTTTCTATTTTGTGTTTCAAGCCATCGGTTTTAAAAATATCTATATAATCTTCGCCTGCGTGTCCACATGTTCTACAGAGTTTCGTATTCATTTTACATTAATAAAAAAATTGATTATTATCAGTTATGATCAGTTATTATATTCAAAACATAATCTTCAGAGCCTGCTGCTGTTTGAAAAAAATGTGGTAAAACATGGATGCTAAATGATTGTTTATGTCAAATAAACTAAATTATATAAATAAAAAACCACTACAAAAGCACAATAGTAATATGGTAACTAAATTGTTTAAACACTATTAGGCGTTTACGAAAATTATACCTTCGGTATTTACCGTTACCCAGCGGTAAACATATGTTTTATGTCAAATATGAATCTGGTAGAATATTTTTAAAACGAACTGGTTAATATCTTAAGATTAAATTTATTATACTAATTAATATAATAATAACATACAATTAATATAATAATAACAAGACTTTGTGCCACAACCTCTAAGCCATCTTATAGATGAAAAGATGAATGAAGTAGATTCTTCATCCAATTCTCCAGTTAAATCTCTGCTGATATGTTCTTCAAAATGGTTTTGAATTTCAGTCAAATCTCCCTCAAGACCACATACAGAGCATTTCCCCTGCTCAATTTCAAATACATCCATGTCCATGGCGATTTTCAATTAATAGGTCTCTGATCTCTGATTTTTTAAACGCGTTTTAAACTCTTATAGGTTCGGTTTTCTCTCATAACGGTCATTTACCGAGACCTTACCCCGATCCATAATCTATAAACCGAATACATGCACCGGTAAATGTGTGATAAAATTAGAACAAGGAACAAAAATACCGTTATCAATTTCGAACGTAAAAAAGTTACCCGGTACCTACCGGTGCAATTTTCGTAAACGCCTATTAAAATTCTTAACATTTTCAAATGTTTTGACAATTTTTTCAATCATAACGTCCATAACCCCTCTCACAAAACACATACACAAGGAGAAGTGCGAGCGCCTTGCTAAATATTGGAAAGTGAAATTGACGTTTAAATTTGACACTGTTGACAAGTCTACTGCTACTAGCGCCCCCAATATCGCTTGTAGGAACTACGGACTACATTGTAACGCATGGCGGGAAGTTTAAAAAAATAAAAAATTTTAATTCTTCATTTATTTTTAATTATGACATACATAAAAACACAAAAAATACACCATTTTTTAAAAATATGTTTAATATCAATATCAAATATACAACAGAAATTAATTTCACCACAATAAATTAATAAAATTAAAAAATAATGTTACAAGTAGATCAAGAGACAAAATTAATTATAACAAAACTGAAAAAAATGGCGTCATAGATGGCTTAGAAATGACGATATATATCATAATTTTGAAAGTAAAATTATATAGGAAATGTCATCGATCATCATTTTGAAGCCAACTGGACGATTATTTCAAACATACAAGCTGAGTTCGTTCATAGTGCTCTGAGAAATCTAGATAAACAAAGAATAATAAATTAAAAGTATTCCAGGGAAAAAGAGAGGAAAAACCTGTATCGTCTCTGATATCTGTCAGGGTTTTGTTGAAAGTGTCATCTTTTTGCTCGAAGTTTTCAGGTCGATTAAAAAGATGACATTTACAACAATACTTTGCCGTAACTTTCACAAATATCAGAGAGAGAGTACAGGTATTGCCTCTCTTTTCCTCTGGGATGCTTTATATCTGTTCTTCTTTGTTTACCTATATTTCTAAGAGCATAATGCCAAACACGACTACAGTATATAATAATTTCAATATCCTAAGTGGAAAGAAAAAAGATCACCTTTCTGTTTTGTACTATGGTCCCTTTCTTCCGATGGCTCATCTCGTTGATATTTAGGAAGGTATCCATAAAATATATATTTTATTATCGGTCCTGGGATGAAAAAATATAAAATTCAATTTCATTTGATGATCCTTTTCTGTCACCTAAATCAGGAGAATGACAATGAGCATGTTAAGATGAAAAAAAACTTATTTATCAACACTTACCTACACGTTAGTCCAAGGAGTTTTATCAAAAACCTATATTTGCCTAAATAATTTATGTATTCAATTTACAAAGCAAACTGCAGCGTGTAAACAAAAGAAATAAAATGGCGACAAGTCAACGTCAACGACCCGACAAGGAGAAAAGTGGTGTTCGAACATTGTGTTCGAATAACAATTTATGGGTTGCAAAAAATTGTTTTTGTCTCCTTTCAACGCACACTTTAGAAAGAAAAAGAGATGAACAGTTATACTGAAAGAATGTCAAGGTTTTATCTGTCACTCTTGTCAATAATTTATCGGTAAGGAAGATTCCTAGAAAATCGCTTGTAGTCAAGTTTTCAACCATTTCCAGTTCCCCCATAAGAAGTGTCATCCACCTGACCCCTCTAACTACCACAGATCTAGCTAACGCCAGAGCTAACGCTAACCATTGATGATGGTGAAGTCAAATAGGGATGGACATGTTCCATGTTTGCTTTTTGTAGAGCAAATATCCATGTACATTTGAACTACTTTAGATATACAGCCCTAATATTATGAGTGAACCGTTGTCAGTTGTCAGATTATCAAAATAAACAAAATGGCTTTAAATAATTTTCTGGATTTTTTCCAAAAAGGAAAAGTAAGTAAATCAGGAACTTTTCGAATGAAATTTAATATTGTAATCTCTACACGTTACAGACCTTCAGACCAAAGAAGAAATTCGCTCACGGTACTATCAGATATAGTTTGCATAAACAAGCTTGTGCTAGCTTAAATTCAGGTATTAATCTTCGTTCTGCTGTTAAACTACCACAAGGGGAGGATCTAAATGACTGGATAGCAGTTCACGGTAAATAACTACTCTATTTTCTTTTAATTTCCTTAATAAATTATATCTTTTTCTAGTGGTTGACTTCTTTAACCGTATTAACCTTATTTATGGTACAATCTCTGAATACTGTACCGAACAGACATGTCCTACTATGTCTGGAGGCCCTAGATTCGAATACTTATGGGCAGACGGTGATAAATTCAAGAAACCTACACCTTTACCGGCCAGAGAATATATAAGTTATCTTATGGACTGGATTGAAATGCAAATAAATAACCAAGCATTGTTTCCATGTACCAGTGATCTACCTTTTCCGAAAAACTTTGCTAGTCACTGTAGCAAGATTCTAGCAAGGCTGCACAGGGTGTTTGTGCATGTCTATATACATCACTTTCAAAATGTCGTTGCTATATCAGCTGTAAGTATAATATTATAAGTTATATTTAGATGGAACTCAGTTTCTGTTTTTTTTTTCTAGGAAGCTCACGTGAATACTTGCTACAAACACTTCTACTATTTTGTGACAGAATTTGATCTAGTAAGTCGAAAAGAATTGGAACCTTTACAAGAGATGTCTTCAAGGATATGTAAAGATCTTCCTATTTAGAAAAAAAATCTATAAATTGCTTTAAGTATAATTTTGGTGTGTTTAACGATTAATTCACTGTTTGTACTTGTATAAAATAATGTGGTTTTGTAAAAGGGCTACTAAAAAAGGTAGGTTAATTGCTCATTTAATATTTTGAAACTGTTTTTACAAAATTTTTGATACTTACTGCCTGCTGAGATGAGATTTATAACTATTGTAACTTTATATTCAGTATAAATTAATAATCTTTATAGAAAATTACTCAATTTTACATTAGAAATCAAAGTAAGGTGTATAGTTTTGAAAATATTTATTTTATGAAGAACTTAATCATAATTTTGTTTATATTAAAACTATTCACAGAATCAAATAGATTGAAAATTTAATTATCAGAAAAAATTAAATAAAACATTAAATATTTTTAATGTTTTTTCTTGTTTCTGTATATCTGTTTCATAAGCTTTAATTTTCTTTCTAATGTTTTTATTTATTTATACAGGGTGACCCATTATTATGTAAAAAAAATTGAGTGAAAATTTTTGAAATAATTCTGGGCCACCCTGTGTATTTTTGTTATTATACTAATTTATGTTGATGTTGACATATAAAACATGATGATATTATGATGATACATATATTAAAAATATATGATATTTATCATAGAAAGTGATATTTTTGTCTCCAATATAATAAAAAAATACTCAAGCTGATTTAGTTTCAAGCATTAATTTGTAACCTTACTATTTGTACAATTTATACAGGGTGGCTCCAAGAAAAACGAATTTATAGCATTTTTTAAAAATAATAGAGTAATACAAATCTTCTGAAACTAAGTTATAAAAATGAAAATATCTAGGCAAATCTTTGTCTGAGGGGTAGACAACCTTAATGGTATTTTGAAGAGGCGTGACTTCTGCATCGAAAATCATAATAATATACTAGGTGTTCCGTTTAAAATAAAAGTGTAACTTGCTTTTAAAAGTAACCAATGTTCAATATCAATTTTGCCACACCCTCTATAACTTTTCGGGTCAGGTTTTAATTAGATTTAACGAACAACGGTCATTTTAAGTAAATATCAGGCTGTACAGGATAAATTCTAATTCAGATAGATTTTATTGAAATTTAAAATAATGTCTTATTCAGTTTTAGAAAATGTTAAAACTTTCTTTGGGGACACCCTGTAGCACTATATATTTTAAAAAATGCTCTAAATTAAGCTACATGTGCTCACAAAGAATTGACGTTCTCCGTGTAGCCTCGTAATTTTATGTTGTAAATGCCATATTGTATCAAATTAGAAATTAATTCCTATCTCAAGCCATATTGTGTCTATCAAATAGAATTTTTGAGTTTTCCGGTATATTATTGTACTCCAAAGATTATTAAATACTTGTAGGTAATTTATTATATAACACTTTATACACTGATATTATAAAATATTTTACTAATACATTATATAGTAACGCAACATATTTCTTTTATTTTTGAATTTAAAGCAGCCATATTGAAACACCATTGCGTTCGCGCTGGTTTTGTTAACATGTCCTTCTTTGGCCTTTTGATTCTGTGACAAATAAGGTATAATCGAAAAACAACACGGCGTCAAAGAGGGCTGAGAAATGACAATGGATGATAATTTTGGCGAAGTCAATCTCTAGACGTTTTTTGCTAAAAACTGACATAAAACTTGTCTCGAATTTTAAACTACACCATTTAAAAATAATTTTTACTCAATATAAAAATAAATTATAACCTTCTCAAGTAAGCTCCGTCGTAAGTGACGTCTAGGGCTTGACCTCCAAACCAAAATTATTAATGATTGTAATTCCCCAACCGTCTTTGACGGCTTTTTTTTTCGATCGTATGATTATTTCGAATAAGTAAACATTAAATAAAAAAAAATTCTAAAAGAAAAAAAAGTATATGTACTTACTTGTAAAAAAAATATTGTAATGCCTTTTTTATATTATCCTAATTAACATTAAGCCTTTATTTTTATTTTGTACATCTCTATATTTGTATAATTTAAGAAAAAACATATATATCTAAGGCCGATTATTGTTTCTTTTATTATCCCTCTTTGTTTCTTAAAAAAAACTAATAATAATAATATGGGATATGTTAATACTAAATTAAACGTCATGTAAAACAAACAAAATGTGAAAATCACAAAAATTAAATAAAAAAACAGACCACGTGACATCAAATAAATACGTATCTAACTGGGCTATTAATAATCAATTGCCACTGTAGGTTTTAGGACCGAGAGAAAAAAAAACGGCGTCGAATCGGCTTCGAAATTACTTCATTTCCCGGCCCACTTAACACCGTTTTTTTATCGCGATCGTACGGCATTTGTGCCGCTAAATCCAGGTTATGTTAGTAAAACAACTGACAGTCTCAAAATGTTAAAATCAATCACTATCAAAAATCTCATCGTCTTCTTGGAAAGTGGTTTCGTTTAGATCTGGCATCATTGTATATCTCGGGGGTTTCCTCCATAAAATACTGGAAGTCCTATAAAACGAGTGATAGAGAAATATTTTTTTAAACAGTTATAATGGAAAATTTGATTTTTTGGACAAGGGATGGTATATCCTATTTTTCTGTACTATATTTAGTACATTTTTTAATACAAAAGAATAGCATTAATATTGCGACGTACCTCTTCAATTTGACGGGATCGATTGACTGGAAAATTTCTTTAAGATCCGGAGTCTGGGGATGTCTGCAAAATAGGGTGTTCTTGATTTTGTCGCCTGCCGCAAGCATCGCCAACTGCATAGTCCTAGCATACTGATCTAAAAGAAAAAAGTCGTTCGGTTGCTAGTGTCGTGACGTCACAGAACACCTTAAGGCGGGTCCACATCGATGGAACATAGACCAAAAAAAAACATATAACCAAACCAAAGGTATATAAATGTTTGTAAACAAATTGCGTATACTCAGGGAACGTCCATACCAATCTATTTATTTAACTAAAGAAAGTTTCTAATATTCTTCAAGTTAACTATTGATGCCCGGCGCCGGGCTGACTAAATAGAATTTAAATTTCCCGCTGGGGTTTCAGGTGGTAGCTCTGTTATAAAAAATCTCAAGTTGCCACATTTATTTATTTATTTCCTGACATTGTCATTCGTTTTGATATTTTAGTTTTGTTTTACGAGTTTTTGGTTTAAATGAATTGTGTTGTGATACTTAACCTTAAAAATTTTTACTAGCAGACCTTGCAGTCGAACATTGTTTTTTTAGAACCTTTTTAATTCAACTAAAGTTTTATTGAAGCTTGGCAAACTCTTGCCAAATTAAAGGTTATTATTTGTGTTGTTTTGTACTAACACACACCCTAAACCCAAGGACTGTATATATTCTAAAGGACTGTTCGATCGCGTCAAATCGCCGCTGTCGAGTCGCCGTGGAATGCTACGTCACGCGCTGACCAGCGCTCCACAGTGCGGCGGATGGTTATTCTAGCGGGACAAAATCTCAAGAGCAATGTTTGGGACTTAAAATCTAAGAACGTAGCAAATGGTCTAATATATAGCAACTATATGGTTAAATTTATTTATTTATTAACAACTTAATTTATTAATAAATAAATACAAGATAATAAAACTATGATATTATTCGTACATGACACACAAAAACCGTATTGTAAACTATTGCCAAATACATAAAATTATGATATCAAAAAACTCTTCAGCAGTTTTTTTTTTAATTAATTTGTAATCTTGTGACACCCTCTATAATTTATTTTAAAAAAATATATTTTATTTTGAAAATAATAAATAAGATAGATATTTTAATTTTAATTTTAACACTCGGTAATTGTAAATTCATATATAGTAAGTATCTAAGACAATTTTTTAAACTCAGTGCCTTTTGATGGAGTTGTTTTGTTTTTATACTATCCGATTGAAATTAAACTTTTTGGGCATTTACCTGTTAAGCTTGAACTCCCTGTGACTGTGACTACCTGTGTTGGTAACTATTGGTAACTCAAAAAATCTACATCATTCAATATATCGATATTCGAAAAAAAGTGAAAGTTTGATAAGTTTAAAAAAATATATTTTATTTTGAAAATAATAAATAAGATAGATATTTTAATTTTAATTTTAACACTCGGTAATTGTAAATTCATATATAGTAAGTATCTAAGACAATTTTTTAAACTCAGTGCCTTTTGATGGAGTTGTTTTGTTTTTATACTATCCGATTGAAATTAAACTTTTTGGGCATTTACCTGTTAAGCTTGAACTCCCTGTGACTGTGACTACCTGTGTTGGTAACTATTGGTAACTCAAAAAATCTACATCATTCAATATATCGATATTCGAAAAAAAGTGAAAGTTTGATATCTGCAGAACAAAGGCACGAAGGATTTTAACAAATAATATACGTACAGTAGAAAAGTACATACCTTTGGCAATCTTCAACATAATTTGGCTTTGGAATAAAATGTATAAGCACTTGTAAATATTTTGTTTTCGTATGATCTCTGCCTTGCTGAGCAGAAAATGACCAAATTTGGTTGATAAAAATGTATCGAAATACAAAGAATATTCATGCATTTTTGTATCAATTGGAATGTCTACTATTTATTCTTATCAGTACACATTTTTTGGCTTATTTCTAACCAAACGCTTTTGTCCCGCTAAATTTATCTTCCAACGCACTGTGCGCTCGTCCGTCAAATGCAAAAATAACTGTCACTGTCTAAAATCTTTAGCGCCAACTTCAACTCGGTCAGTAGATGACGTAAAAAAACTGACAGTGCAGGAAGATAGGAATCGAACTATCCTCTTGCCCTAAACCAACTTATTTCATTGTAAAATAAAATAAAATACTTTGAAATTAAAATGACAGACACGTCTAACCATAGATAAAGGAATCAAGTTTAGATTGGAATGCTCGGCTTGCCGCCAAAACTTTTAATTGTTTTGGAGCGCATACGTTGTAGGGCGCTGCTATAGCGGTTTGCTAAGAACAACCGCCAAACAAGAACAGAAATAATTTTCTCTTGTCAAAGTCGGAATCTTGGAACCAACGTTGCCAAAAAATTTACAGACTATATTATTTTTAAATAGGATCTAATATAAATAATTTTGACTTCTAATTTTTTGTTTATATTTTGCTACTACTTAAAGTAAATGTTTGTATTTCATGATTTTAAATTTTGTTGTTAATAGGTATAACAAATTATTACTGTTATTATTATTTATTAAACTAGTCTTTGCTTAAAAACACTAAAAATCTTTTCCAACATCCAAAATAAAAAGTATTATTGCAGTGTAACAACAGAGTATTAATAAAAAAATGCAAAATATATAGACATACTATCCCTAACTAAATAATACCAAAAAATAATATTCTTTGTTAATACCAATTAATACCAATATAATGGCAACGGCGCCCTTCATAATGTATTTTCTGTGTAAATACTAGCACCTCAATAAAAAAAAATGTGTCCTTATATGAAAAGATGCCGGCTTCTTTCATACCATTGCCACCGACCGCTGTCGGGTTTCTAGGAAGGAAACCTACGTCGCGCGTCGCCGGGCGACAACTAAAATCCGGATTATATTTCATTATAATCGATCCTGATGAATAAATGAATGGTTTTTGCTGCCGAATTACTAGAATACAATATTTGAAGGCAGATGACGCATCTATTCGATATCTTTTCTTACTAGCTAACGAATCATTCAAATGAATTGCAACTATCGAATGTTTCGATAGTATTTATTCCATAGTACCCACTATTAGTTATTACACTAACCTGAGCACCAACTTGGCGGTTTGACTTTCTTATAGTTTGCATCGTCCGAATCGTAACAGTCTGCTGTAGGCAACATGGGCGGTTTCGTGGTCATGTAAATGGGAGGATTTCTGCTTTGTTCGGCTAAGAATTCCTCCCTCTGAGCGTGCAGTTCCTGGATCTTCTTTTTCTGAGCTAATCGCTGCTTCTCGGCCTCGATTTTCTTCTTTTGCAGGTACTCGGCTTTCTCTTGTTCCCTCTGTCTCAGCCTTTCTTCTTTTTGTTTATGCAACTGTATCGAAACAAAAAAAGAAAAAAAAACATGTTTTTTTTTAAATTTTTAAATAAAACGTGTGTCCCTATACTATAGTCGGTTTTAAAATGGTTTTATTTGCCAAATTTTATAGTTCTAGGTCAACGAAAAATACACTATATGTTTTCTATGTCGTATCCTTTTTTTACGTTAACTTAAGCCCCGTTCTCAGAACTGCGACTGTCGCCAGCGACACGACAAAAGAACCAATGAGATTTGTACAAAATTCAAACAGCTGTCAATTTTAAATTTAGTATAGCTCCCATTGGTTGTTTGAAATGTCAAACTGTGTCGCCCGCGACACGACGTCGTTCTGAGAACGAGGCTTTAGAAGTTTCATTTTTTCACAGCTTCAAGAGACTGTAGACCTGAGTATACGGTTTTAATGTCAACTCGATATCTCCATGCGTTCCCGAGATAAAGGGTCTTATTTCTTTGTAAAGAAAGTGTAATACAAGGGATGTGATTACCAAAAAAATTTGTACAATATTTAGTACATTTCTAATATGAAAAAATATAGTTTAATTTGTATATTTCAGGCAAAGTTTGAGACATCTAAAAAATACATTCTATTCGCCACGGAAGTTAATGAGTTAAAAACACCTAGAAGTCATGTAAGAACCAAAATATGTATATTTTTGTACTAATTATTAATATTAAAGTTTTGTATGTATAAAATATGACATAACGTGAGAAAAATTACAGACATAAAAATAAATTACCTCGATTTGCTTCAATTTTTCTGCTTCAATAGCCTTTCTTTGCTGTTGCGCTTTGAGCTGTTTCTCTTCATTCAGTTTCTTCTTTGCCTCGGCCTGCGCATGCAGCATTGCCTCTTTCTTCATCAAGGCTTGTTCTTTTTCCTGCATACGTTTCTCTCTGGACTCTTTTTGAGCGCTCTGTATAGTATAAAATGAAACTATAAGTATAAAGCACGGAAAAATCGGTAGATTCAACGATAAATTGGTACATTTGGCAATACTGTAATGCAAATATACCCTGAAAATGACAGTTAACTCAAGGGATGTGATTCCAAAAAATTTTGTACAATATTTAGTACATTTTAATATGAAAGAATGGAGTTAAAATTGTATATTTCAGGTAAAGTTTAAGTTCTACTTTGTAGATTTCTGTAATTTTCTCTTATAAAAACGTTTTTTAATAAGATTTTAACCACTAAAACTACCAAAAACTAAGCATTAAACATTTTAAAATAGAATATGCAAGCAGAAAAAAAAATATGTACAGTACCTTCATGGCTTGGAAGGAATCTGTGTTGATGGAACTATGACTGATCATCCTTGGCACTTTTGAAGTACTACTACTGCTGGGTAAAAATTTCGAACCAATAGGAGTAAAGAGTTTTGCCTAAAAAGTTGTAAAATAAAGTAATAAAAAATATATATAAAAAAAATAAAAATAAAATTAAAAAAATAAAAAAATGAAAAATAAGTAAAACTAAAATAAAAAAAAAACATAAAATTGAACCTACTTTTTCCTTTACAGATGGCGTGGTTGATTTGAGGTTAGGAATCAACTTGGACGCCATTTCTTTGGGACGCTGCAATTTTTCAAAGGCTTCTACTTTCTTTTTTAAGGTGGTTTTTTCATACGGACTGAACACTTCCTTCGCAGACTTACCATGTTTGGTTTTAGGAGGCGTTTTGGCCTACACACAATTAAAAAATAAAATAAAAAATACAGGTCCGTATTTAAGAAAAAAAAGGAAAATTCCCGATAAGTGTCCGATATTTTACAGGGTGATTTTTCAAGTATTTTTAAGATAAAGAGTTCATATAAACAAGTATTCTAAAATGTTTCGTTTTCGAGATACAGGGCGTCGAAGTTTTTTGAGACAAAAATCGTTTTTTCTTAATTTTTTTAAAGCCATTCCAGATATTTTTATGAAATTTTGTGCACGTCTTTTCATGACTGAGGAGCTTTTTTCGATAAAAAATATTTTCTCAAATTTTTACCAGTGGCGTCCGTAAGAAAAAAATATTTTTAGCAATCTCGAAATGCATTAAAATTATATTATTTTTTTATGCAAAAACTATGCGCCTGACAAAAAGAACCAAGAGACATAATTTGTTCTAAAATGAACGGGGATTCTAAAAATATTTTTTATTTTAAGATTAAACCGTGGGTACTATTTTTTTCTTTAAAAATATTCAGTCAATACCCCAACAACAAACAAGCAGAAATGAAAAAAGAAGAAGAAAAATAATTTAACGCGAACAAAAAGAATATTAAGGATCTCCCTGTAAGTGTCAATTCTTATATGGGACACCCTGTGTATATGTATAATAGAAAAAAAGTCACAAGTTACTCACCTCAATGGAATCATCGTCTGTCAAAAGGTCGCTGACATGATACGATGCTTCAGTGTTAAAAATATCGAATTTGTGTTTTTCCACCGTCACCGTACGATTGGCATCGTTCTTATTATTATTTGAACATACTGTAACTGTCGTATTTAAAGCTGGAACTTTGTTTTCACTCGCCACGTATGTAGCGTCCAAAACTTTTACCTGTGGTGGTTCTAAAACTAAATAAAAAATTATAAAAATAACTATTTAAAAAAAAATTGATCGGATTTTTCAACGATTTCATAAAATTTAAGCCCGGCGATTGATATATCGATAACTATCGAAAAAATTAAGCTCTGCCTGTTTTGCATTAAGATCTGTTTCTAAGGAGCTTAACTTGTCAGTGGCTAGAACTGTTTATTATGCACTTTTTGAGTCGCACCTCAGATATGCCCTTCCATTCTGGGGTACGTGTTGTGCGACTCAATTTGACCGCATTTTCAAGCTCTAGAAGAGAGCTGTTCGATATTCACTGGGACTAAACAGCAGAACTCGTTGCCAGGAGTTTTTTAAAAAATTAAAAATATTAACTCTTCTTTCCTTAATTATATTTGAATCCGTTTGCCTAATATGTAAGCATGTATCAGCTTCTCAAGAAAGGCCATCTCACACTTACCTACTCAGGAACGCGGAGCAAGATCTTTATCTACCTACCCCACGCTCAGAGTTAGTTAAAAGTTCAATATTATACAACTCGAAAAAAATGCACAATCACCTGCCATTTGAAATCAAATCCATAACATCATTTTCTTCATTTCGCAAAGCATTGAAATCTTATTTACTAGACAAGGCTTTCTACGCCGTAAATGACTTATATTTTGATAATCGAATTTGATCTTGTAAACCCTGGTCTAATAAATATTTCTATATTTAGTATAAACTTACTAAATATTTTATTTATTATTTATCTTATTTCTATTTTTTTATTCTTTGACATTGTAAACATTTATAAATGTTTATTTTAAACTATAAGACTGACAATGTAATTTGTATAATGTTTTGTATTCTCTTTTGTTTGTTTGTTTGTTTACTTAAACTTTGTCTACAAATTGTAAAGACTAAACAAACTAACTATCGATATATCAATTAAAAATCCTATTCCTAGTTTTAACCGACACGGGCGGAAAAACGCACGGAAAACTTGAAGTGTATGCAGGCCTTTATTTTTATGACAAATATAGGAAATACTTACCCATAGTAGAGCGGGCATCTTCGTATTCCGTGCGGACGGTACTATCGCAATCTTCCTTTTTCGGCGATTTCGATATCGATTTTTTCTTACTTTCTTTCTCCACCTCATCCCTATCCGTAGATTCGGATCTACATCTCTTTAATTTTCCGTTATTTTTCGCTTCAACGACGTTATTAACAACTTCATTTTGTTCGCCTATTATTTTCCTTGTCTTAGTACGGGTAGATCTTGTAACTTCTAAAAAAAATAAAATAAAAAAAAAATAATAAAATTAAATAAAAAATAAATTAAAAAAAATTAATGAAAAAAATAAAAAATTTAATAATAAAATAAATTAATAAAATTAAATAAAAAATAAATTAATAAAAAAACTAAAATATACCCGGGACAATCTTATTATCTGCTGGAACCTCTTTCTCTAGATTTTCTTTATTATTTTCTAAAAAAAAAACAAAGTTATCGCTATATTTTATTTTCAAAAAAATTTCACATACCTTTTAGGCCATCATTGTCTTCTTTTGGTGCCTTTCTAATCGTTTTAGTTCTGGTACTTCTGGTTGGTACCTGAGTTTCTTCTTCATTATCCTTTTTAACTAAAATTAAAGACATTTTTTTAAATATCTTCTACAGGGTCTTGTAAAAGTGCGTCGGGCATCTGTAACAACTCTGTATAATAAAATACTTTAGAGATTTTGTTTAAGTGCAAACCTAAAGTTTGTACCAGGATTTATTTCAGGAAAATATCTTAACTTCTACAGGGTGACTCAAAAAATGGATCGGAATGATTTTTTTAATAGAACACCCTGTATATTACTGTATTTTTGGTTTCCTTTTTGATCACATTACATAGTTCTAAAATATTATTAAATTTGTTTTGATAATTTCAGAGATATAAATAAATAAATAGAAAAAATATATTTTTCAGTCTCTTTTAAAAAAATATATTAAAAATATAAGATGCGTTCTGAAAGCAAAACTATGCTAGGTACTTATTATAAATGGTTTGAACTTACTTTATTATAAATATCGTAATTTTAAATCATACAGGGTGTTCAAGATTCCCCGCCAAAATTTGTAAAATATAAAATATTTTTTCGTTTTATTTTTAAATAAAACACCCTGTATATAATTTTTCTGTTAGATGCAGAATTAAAAATTGAACAATTAACGGTAAAATACCAGATAAAAATCGTTAGGCTTAGCTTTGATAAAAAATTACTGTTGAAAGTTATAATATCGCGAATATCTCCGAAACTGTTAAAAATTTAGAAATACTTTAACTACAAAAATTTTCGTTTTTTAATTCTCCATCTAACAAAAAAATGATATACTGGGTGTTCCATTTAAAAAAAACCAAGAAAAATTATTTTGAACACCCTGTACGATTTAAGATTACGAAATTTACAGCAAAGTACAGACCAACTATAGTCAATACCTAGTATAGTTTTGATTTCAGCACTTTACTATTCTTGTATTTTTAATACTTTAAAAAAAAAAACTCAAATTTTTTTTTTATTAAATTATTATCTCTGAAGCAAACATTCCAATCGACTCACATTTTTTTGAGCCACCTTTTTGTAGAAATTAATATATTTTCCTGAAATATATCCTACTACATACTTTAGGTTAGCATTTAAACAAAAAATTCCTAAGGTTTTTATTGTAAGAACTACAGATGCATGACACACTGTTACAGAACCCTGTATAATTAAAATAAATCAAATTAAATCTACATACCTTCAGTAGGAATCTCTTCTTTCGGAGCTTTTCTAATTGTTTTGGTTCTTGTAGTTCTTGGTGGTACCAAAATATCATCCTTTTCCTCTACGGTTTTGCCACCTAATTATAATTAATTCTATACAAACTCTCTTATTAAAATCATTTTTTATCAAACCTTTTGAGCCATTATCATCGTTCTCCACATTATTTTCCTCTTTCTGAGCCTTCCTGATTGTTTTGGTTCTTGTGGTTCTTGGCGGTAAACAAACATCTTCATTTTCCTCAGTTGTTTTACCTAAAACCAAGATTTTTAATAATTTAAAAAAATTCATATATATTTTTTATTTATTTGTTAATATCTGTGAAACTACCAAAACAAATTTAATAATATCCTAGTACTATATAAGTGACCCGAAAGGAAGTCAAAAATGCAATAATATACAGTGCGTTCCATTAAAAAAAAAACTAGGAAAAATTATTTCCTATATCACAAAGTTTGGAATAAGAATTTTGAACACCCTGTATGACTTAATATCTTAGGATTATTATGTGTGTATATTTTATGTTTTCTTCATTATATAAGGCAAAAAAAATAAATCACCTTTTTTGGTTGTTTTATTTAAAGTACTTCTTAAACTAGTCTCGTCTGCCTTTGTACTAGAAGTACTATCCATCTCAGACTCCTTTTCACTCTCCTCCAGTACTTTATTAGCTTTTCTGGTCTTAGTTCTAGTACTAAAAGTATTTAAATAAAAAAAACATTCAATTTAACAAAAAAAAACATTACCTTCTTCCTTTAATCCCTTTCACAGAATTTGTGCTATCCGATTCTTCTGAATCTGACAAACTTATTATAGTGGATGTAGAATTTTGTATGACAACATCAGAATCTCTCGAGTTTTCTTCCGAATTTGTAGCTAAAATAATTATATTTCTGTATATGTAAATTAATAAAAATTAAATCAAATACCTTTCTTGCCTTTGGTTCTTGTGGTCCTCGATGGTCTCTCTAATTTTAGATCTTTAGCCTTTTTTTTGGGAGGGATAAATGAAGGTGCAGGCATATCTTCCTTTTCAGTTTTGATATTTGCTATCAGGCTAGATGTAGTACTTGTAACAGACTCGGTAGAACTTTGTGTATTAGACACATATCCTTCTGACAGTTTTTCTTTTTTAACTTTAACACCTCTTGTTGATCGGGTATTTCCTTTATCCTTCCCTAAAAATATGTATATTTTTTATGTTTTACTTCACTGTACAAGGTCAAAATATTCAGCAGCTTTTTTCGAAAGATATATAAAAAATTTGTTACCTAAGTTATCCCCTACTTTATGATCTTCATCATCTATACCACCGTTCGCTATTAATCTATTAACATATTTAGAAAACTCTTCAATACCCTGTAAGATACAAAAATATAATTAATAGTAAAAAAAAACATTCACGATATCTGATACCTTGTCTATCTCATAGAAAGTGGTTTGGGCCTGGTTCATAATGCCCTTCATGCGCTCTTCATTGTCCCGTTGGATTTTCGCAAATATTTCTGCAGGAGTTGTACCCATTTTATATTTTATTTAGACTAGACTTCGAATACATAAAAGTTCTTGATTCTTGAAGTGGCGGTTACTGATAAACGGCTTTATTAACAACTGTCAATGATGTCAAATTTAAATTTGTTGTTGTAGTTCAAGGACACAATGGCTGGGGTTCAGGGATGGTATTCTTTGTTTGTTTCAAGTTTTCTACATGGTATCAAAAGCTTTCTTTTGTTTTTTAGAATAGTTCGGTTACTTCAGCATCTAATTGATCAAGAACGCGATGTAATAACTCTATTAACGCGATACAACATCCTTGTCATTAATTTTTAATATCACATACATAAACTAGTTTCCTGAATCTATGCCATATATCTTTATACATTTTCTGTGGTTATTCAGTCTGTCATGTTTTTTTGTGGTTATGATTTTTTAAAATTTGAAAGGTTTTATCAGGATTTACTGTGGGATTTACTATAAAGTTTTTTCCTCTAATATAAATGTTCAGAAAAAATATTAATTAAACCGAAAAGGTAAAGAGTGTATGATATTAAATCATATGTATCTATTTGATGTCACAGTTTCAGGATAAAATCGAAAGTTGTTTATTTTAAACACACAACAGAATGGCTAATTCAGCTTCTTCTGATTCAAGCCAGAATTCCCCAGTATGCCTTCTGGTTCTCGGAATGGCAGGCAGTGGTAAAACCTCCCTTGTAACTCGTCTCTCTGAATGTCTTAGAAATAACAAAAAACCGTACGTTGTTAACCTGGATCCTGCTTGTTTAGATCTACCCTACTTTGCTAATATCGATATTAGAGAAACAGTTAATTACAAAGAGGTGATGAAACAGTACAAATTAGGACCAAACGGAGCAATTGTAACGAGTCTTAATCTCTTTTCTACAAAATTTCCCGAGGTTATCAACTATATTGGAAAAACTACAAACGAATATTGTGTTATTGATACTCCGGGTCAAATAGAAGTGTTTGCATGGAGCGTATCAGGTAAATAATCATCAGATTATATTCCTGTAGTAATTATTCCAATATTTTAGGGTCTATAATAACCGAAACCTTAGCCTCAGCTTTTCCTACCGTTATACTCTATGTAGTAGATTGTGTTAGAAGTACATCTCCGGTCACCTTCATGTCAAATATGTTATATGCTTGTTCCATCCTGTATAAAACACGTCTTCCTTTTATTATTGTAATGAATAAAGTGGATATAGTCGATGCAGGTTATGCAAAAGACTGGATGACGGATTTTGAAAGTTTCCAGGAAGCTCTTGAAGCTGATGAGAGCTATGTTAGTAATCTTACAAGGTCTATGGCTCTGGCTCTGGATGAATTCTATCAGAATTTAAAAGTTTGTGGATTTAGTGCGGCCACAGGTCAAGGAGCTGACGAGTTATTTAAGTTAATAGATGAATGTCGCATAGAATATGAGAAGTAAGAATATGGTTAGAGTTATTTTTCTCTCACAAATCACTGAATATAATATTTTTTTAGCGATTACAGAGCCGAATGGGAGAAAATTAAGCAAGATACTGAAAAAAGGAAACAGGAAGAAGCCGTGAGTTCTGTTGAAAGTGAGTCCAGTTCACTTTTGACGTCAAAACCAAGAGGAATAGAATTATCAGATGTATATTTACGAAATGCCGGTAATGACAGTTCTGAAGACAGTGAAGGTGAAGAAGCACCATATACAGGTACGGACAGCTTGTTTTTTGTGTAACTATAATCAGATTTTATTTATTATTAACAGAAGTTTTATGATGTTCCTAGAAAAATCATATTTTTAACACTATGTACCTATTATTGTATAAAAAAAAACAGTGTATGCACTATGTGCGCATATTTGAAGCGAAACTTCTTACTAACAACTATTAAATTGAAGAATATGTTTGAGACAGTCCCGTAATGGTGTTTTATTATAAATACCTATTACTTTCAATTTATTTCTGTAATTTTTAGTTTTTTCCTCAATAGCCTGTAAATTTAGTGGAATACCACCCAAAATACACAATTTTATGCAAATGCCTAAATGCCTAATAATGGGCGCGTTCAGGGACGGTCAGCGGCTGAGTGGCTGAGTAAGTGATTTCCCTAAACGGTCTATTCTGACCTTTGAATAAGAAGACTAAGGAAGGAGCATAATGCTATCCATGTATTCATGCATGGTGGGCGGCATGGTAATAATAATTCTTTTTTCAAAATAATTTTTATTCTAAAGACTAAAGATCGATTATAGACCGATTTGAAGAAGATGATTTATTTATATTTCTCTCAAATTTTTATAGTAGACAGAGAGCGCATGAGACAGCTACTGTTTCCTGTTCTTTCTGCTGCTTTGTGCCATTTAGGGAATACCGTAAGCTGCTGGTCAGCAAAATTCTACGCTGAATGTCAGCGGCTGTGTTCCCTGAACGCGCCCAATGTTAACGCTTAAATTTATTTAAGAAGAGAAAAAAATTTGAACCTAACCAACAATTCGTATTTATATTGTTTTTTTTTTATTATAGTTATTTTCTTAGCCGCGTATGGCACAGACAGTTACCCAGAGCGAGTTAAATTGTTTTAAAAAGGTGTAGAATCTACCCTGAATGGGGTAGCTGTGGCAACACTGCCGTTACCACTTTTCCTGACGCTACCTCGTGTGTCACGGCCTTGAATTTTTACTCACAACGCGCGTAAAGAAGTTTCACCTCTAAAAACTTCAAATACATAAAAATGAATTCTGAACAATTTGAGATCTATGAGTAACTGAAAATGTTTTTTTTATTATTTTTTTTAGATGTTATTGATGTAGAAGAAGAGAATGCATTTAAAAAAGTGGTAAAACAGCAAAGAGAAATGCAGTTGAAGAGAGCAAAGGAGGCAGAAATTAAGCAAAAAAACAAGGAACCTTCAAGTTCTGCAGGATAATAAATAAAAAAATATTTTTTAAGATTAAACTGTCCTAATTAAAACTTTTTTTTATTTTTCTTGTTGTGTTATTTCAAATTTTCCCTAAAATCCAAATATATTTATAACAAATAGAAAATAAAATACCGTACAATCGAAAAAAATGCCGTCACAGACCGCTGGGGATGACAATCGATGGTAATTTTGGCGTGGTCAAGCCCTAGGCCCTAGACCTCTTTTAATTGGCCCGTACTTTTCATCCTTTAATAGCTCTTACTGCATAAAAAAAATAAATGGCAGCCTATATGTTTCTTTTTGCATAGTTTTAAATACCGGGTGCGTCTCAAAAGTGGCTCACCCCTATAACTTTTTTATTTTTTCAGATAAAAAAACGAACCTTGGTATGGTAGTATATGACCTAAATTAGGATTGATTGACGTATTCAATTGTTTTTGGTCACTTCCTGTTTCACTGGAAATGACTACAACTTTTGATTTTTAAATGGCACCCTCGGTATTTGTTTACTTTATTCGATTAAATGGCACCTCTTTGATCATGTCATTTTCTATTGAATAAAGTAGAAATATACCGAGGGTGCCATTTAAAACTCAAAAGTTGTAGTCATTTTCGGTAAAACAGGAAGTGACCAAAAACAATTGCATACGTCAATCAATCCTAATTTATGTTATATACTTTGAATAAGAAGACTAAGGAAGGAGCATAATGCTATCCATGTATTCATGCATTGTGGGCGGAAAAGGCACCATAAAAGCTCTCTAGGGTGGGGATCCTTGACAGTTCTCTTTGACGATTCACTTGACACATTTGAATTTGATTTGAAATTTTGTGGATTTGTCAGTCTTTACGGAGCTGATTTTATGTTATTTATTATTTATTCTACTACTGATAGTTGTATAAAGGTAGTAAATCTAGATGGAAATAGTGGCAGAACTTAAATTAACAGTGACACCATCGCGATTTATCGAAAAAGACTAAAATAGTTGGTTGTGTAGCGTGCGGTAGATCTCGGCAAAAATTGAGTGAAATAATGGAACAACTTTTCGCTAGTAAGTGACTATATAATATACATACGTGTAGTAAACCGATCATTTATGAAATTCACTTAAATTAACTAAATTATATATTTTTCTTGCATTTTAGCTTTTATTTATTACTTGTCAAAGATTAGATGTCAAAGAATTTAGATACGTTAATTTGAGTTACCTGCTTCAGTAGCGTATCGGATGTTTGTGTTAATAAATACTTATTATAACTTATCTATTTTTATTAGAATTATATATTTTTATAACAATTTTAATAACTACCAACATTTATTCACAACGTAAGATAAAACAACAAATTATTGAGTCTACCCTACATCATAGTTTTACATTTTTTAAATAAAATTAGAACGACACTGATAAACCGGAATTAAAGTCGGCCATATTTGAGGCCCATCGCGGTGTACCCATAGGGTGTACCTAAGATTTTTTATATGCTCCTTCCTTAGTCTTCTTATTCTAACATACCAAATCTCGTTTTTCTATCTGAAAAAATAAAAAAGTTATAGAGGTGACACTTTTGAAACGCTCCCGATATAGTTTAGACACCCGATACATAAACAAAAAAAGTCGTACCTTGCCTGTTTTGCCTGTTGCAATGTTTTTTTTTAATTTTTATTACAGCGAGAATATTATTACTTTTCAACCAATTATTTTTATTATCCACATGCATGGTACTCATTTTTATTTTAGCTACAACGACTTTGCTGCATTTAAATCATTAAGCAAATACGCATAAAATATTAATGAACATTTAATTTTAATTGAAATGCATCCAACCAATGTAGCTTTGTTATTAAAGTCTAGAAATAATATAGCGGTACAAAATTAAAATGTGCAGTCGATGAGTGACCTTGATCATTAAAACAAGATTAAATAATATATGTTAATTAATGTAACACCTATTTACTAATATTAAAAAAATATTCCAGTTAATTGACACGTTTTTAAACTGAACTCTCCAATTTGAATGGTTTGTGAAATAAAAAATCGCATTTCCAGAATTAAGGTAGATATATATTTAATTTGATATTTAATTACAGCGTATATACAGGATGTAACCATACAGGGTGGCCCATCGAAAACGTTCCGTAAGGTATATAACGACCAGGATATTTTTTTTTTCACAAAATCCAAAAACACGTCAATTTTGTTTGTGAGGGGGACAACTTTTGCCCCAAAAATGATTGCAAAATCTTCAACCCTCTAAGCGGGGGTGTCATCCCCCAACTTTTTTCAAATGGGAAGGGGTATCAAGTGGTACCGCAATGAAAAGGGCTTTTTATTCTCTATACTTTCCCGCTTCGTTTTTTAAAATCGGTCGAGTCATTGAGAAACTATGAAGGATTGAAATTTGAAAAGTTTATTTAACATTTATCAGAGTAAATGATAAGGATAAATTCCTTCGACCAATTTGCTGTTTTTTCTCATTATTTCTAGATGTTTACGCATTTTTTCACTTGCCACAAGGTTGAACGATCAGGTGCGGCAGTTGCTAATTCTTCGCGGCATAAACTGAAGCTTGTTCAAGCATGCATGTACCATGTGGCGGCGAAGGTAAATTACAAAAAGAATGTTCATGCACTGCCGTTCTTTAAAAGATCAGCCTGGGGGCCGACTTTTGTTTACTTCATCAGCTGTACATACTTAGATATTGGGTTAGATTCCGTTTCATATTTTGTCGGTTGATTTTTGGTTTTAACTCTATGATTTTTGGTATTATTTATTATTGCAGTGCAAAAAACTAATTATTTTGGTGTTTAAGTGACATAACCTACTACCAGATATATGGTCACTCTCGGTTTCGCATAAAAAAATAGAAAAATTGAAAAATTACACGTTGTGTAAGTGATTTAACCTAAAAGTGCCCATACATTTTTTACTCATCGTGATTTTTGTGTGTGTTTTTTAAGACTCTAACAATTCATCAATAAAGCTTAAGTGGAGTGTGTTTTTGGTGCTATGCCTCATCTTTAAGTGGAGTGTGTTTTTGGTGCTATGCCTCATCTTTGTTGTGTTCCTGGTGGAAAGGATAGTTATACTAGGCAGCCTAAAGTGTCCAGAAGAGCAAGAAAAGTGGGTACGAGTTATAAATCAAGAGAATTCTATTGAAAATATCTTTAATAAATTTAAAAATAATATTCTCCCATGATGGTATTAATGAAAACTGACAATTATGTTTATTTTATTCATATTGTGGAATCTCCACCCAAGTGTTGTTGGTTCAGCTTCGACAGATTCAAACACGTAAGTAGGTATTATGATCTAGGGAAAAATAAAGAATATGTGTATTAAAGATCATGAAAAAGATTATTATTTTGAGTTCAAATTTTAAAAAAGATTTTTGTAAAGACAAGACTGATACAGTTTAAAAGAAGAATGTGTTTTTGTTTGATAATATATAATGTATGTCAAGTAATTTAACATATATTTTTGTTCAGTAATTTTTAATGAACAGTGTTGATTATTTATAATACCAAATTAATATCAAATATTTAAGTGATGGCTGAATACAATATGAATAAAATAACAATAAAATTGGTATATTTGCATAATACAAAATTAAGTTTTAAGAATAACGGTGTTACTAAAAATACTAAGAAATTCATATTTCTTTCTTTTAATTGGTCTAATGTTATTTACATTTTACGAAGAATTATACCGTATCGTCGAAAAAAATCGGCGTCTAGTTTTTGGAAATGAACATCGATGACATTCCTAAATAACTGTACACATAAAATAATTAACTAGAATTTTACAATCTTGGAAAATTTGATATTCTTGAAACCTTACTTCTAAATATTCTAAATTTTTGATTTTCGCCCGTTATGCTTAGGTTCAGGATGAAAAACAATATTATCTTTCATTTGGGTTTTCATTATTTTTACCTGTTTAAAAAAAACGTTTCCGATAACATTATAGCCTTCATCAGCTGTTGTGTAACATAGGTAAAAATAGTGTCGAATATAATACAAAAATTACATATAAAATATTCACACCACACACATAATGTTTACTGAGTACTCCATAGTCAATGTAGATAATTTTAGTGTTAAGAATAATGTTTTTAAAAAATATGTGGTCATCTTTTCATAAATTTATATTAGTTTATTAATTGCAGTAAACATTATGAGGTGTGAATTATATTGTATAATGTATTTTTGGATTATATTCGACACTATTTTTCGCATATGACATAACACTGATGAATCTCTAGCCGAAATAATTTTTAAACCAAATAAAAATAATGAAAACCCAAACTAAAAACTTAAATCAACGTTTTTCGATGAACCTAAAAATCCCAAGAAAATCAAAAATTTTAGAATAATTTTATTTATAAAATGCCAGCGATCTTCATTTCATACCCATCGCTGACTTTTTTAGATAATATTGTATTATTTGTAAATATAATTTTCGAACATTGATACTTGCAAAATATACATATAAATTTTGTGAATGCAAATAATAATACATCACTATTAGTAGATATTGAATGTTTTTGTTAAATTAGATCGATTTTCAACCCCCAAAATTTAAAAATATATTTACATTTTACCCATTATCTTATGTACCTATACATTATTTGTACATTGTAAAACATTTGCTGCATTTGTATGGTTCATAGTTTATTTGCCAAAGTATTTATTACTATAAATAGGTATATATGTTGTAGCTATTAACTGTATATTATGTATATTTCATGTAAACTATATCATTTTTAAAATACAAACCAAAAATCTGAGGAATAATTATGTTTTCCATGTATTCTACAACATATTTATTAATCCGTTATATCTAACTAGCGTGACGTCATAAATCTCGCCCGGAGGCTGATCTTTTAATAGAAGGCACTGGTTCATGCATGCTTGTCAAGCTTGCAGTAGTGTGTGTAGCCACCTTTACATTCTAAAGAGAGATCAACAGGCAATAGGAACCGAAACCTTAATATTTCTCATTTTCTTTTAATAATAATTAATAATTTAATTAATTAGGACAATAATTAATTTAAATAATATTAAATAATTAATTATAGGACATGTCAGTGACTTTTTTAATTAAAAACGTATATTATATTATTTTGAAGGGATGCCACGCATCACCCGCATCAATGGAACCTTCGCCGCTGTCTAAAAAGGATAAAACTAAGAAAGCGTCTTCGAGAGTGTATTTGTAGATTTTTCCAACTGTCAAAATAAAAACCGAACATCCTGTATATTATTATAATTTCTGTTCATTTTAGGATAGCCTTCAAAGCAGTCTTAAACTATCATTAAGCAAGTTCAGAGTTCCATCGGCATTTATTTTTGAAATATTAGAGAAAACAGTGGACGTTTCGCTACACATAAAGGTATAAATAAATGAATACATAGAAGAAAAAAAAATAAAGTAAAAACACAAAACAATAGCTTAATTATATCTATCAACTCTAGTTGTTCTAACTTAACGTTTTATATGCAATTAAAAGCCAATTTTGTCAACTAATAGCACTTACACAACGACTAGGTATATCGATTAAGTATGCACTCATAGTAATTAGTATAATAATTGTTATACTATAGACCCTATAATGCAAATAAATATATTATTCTTTCCTATATAGACAACTGTAAAAGCTTTACACGCAATTCTCAGTCTGTAAACAATTATTCATTTTTGTGTTTTCCTGCAATGAATAAGCTGATAGATGTTAATAAACTTTATAAAGAAGATACAGAATTGAAGAAAGATGATGTTGAAATGCTTTTAAAATGGTCGGAGCAACAAAGACATTTTCCTAAAGTTACAGGTGAGTACAAATTTTCTTTGATTTTTTATTCAATAAAAATATAAGCTTATATCTTGTCTTGTCTTGTTATGTCTTGTCTTGGTTTCGTTAACTATAAATAGAGTCATAACTCCCGTAGAACATTATTAACGGAAATTATGCCATAATTCCCTTATTATAAGGTATTGATATATTTTTGATGTCAGTGATGGGCAAGTACACGGTATGTTAAAATTTGGGTAAATACCATTATACCTGTGATTATACCCTATATACAGTGGCGAAATACCTATAAAGGTTTTTTTTGGCGTATTGAGTTACTAATATCGCTATTAAAAAAATAGGGGTTGATGGTAGAATGGTGAAAATTTAGGGTTGTATGTATTTTTAATGCCACATCATAAAAAGTAAAAATAAAAAATTTTGGCCAAAAAATGAAAATTGGAGTGGTCCACCTTTATCACTTAAGGGTGTAAAAAATAGATAACAACTTTTATTTTCTGACCTACTAAATAAACAAATAAAAATTCTTCAAAATCGGTTAAGCCGTTTCGGAGGAGTATGGTAAAAAAATGAAAAAAAACAACCCTATTAAAAAATAGGGGTTGATGGTAGAAGGATGAAAATTTAGGGTTGTATGTATTTTTAATGCCACATCATAAAAAACTAAAAATTAAAAATTTGGTCCAAAAAATAAAAATAAAATTTAGGGTGGGCCACCCTTATCATTTAGTGGTGTAAAAAATAGACAACAACTTATTCTCTGACCTACTGAATATATATGTATATATAAAATTTAATCAAAATCGGTGAAGCCGGTTCGGAGGAGTATGGTAAAAATAAATTAAAAAAAACAACCCTTATTAAATACAGGGGTTGATGGTAGAAGGGTGAAAATTTAGGGTTGTATGTATTTTTTAATACCAAATCATAAAAAATAGAAATAAAAAAATGTGACCAAAAAATAAAAAAAAATGGGGTGGGCCATCCTTATCACTTAGGGGTATAAAAAATAGATAAGACCTAAACCTATACTCTCAGACCTACTGAATCCCACATCAAAATCGGTTATGTTCCGGAGGAGTATGGTAAATTGTAACAAAAAATTAAAAGGGAACAACGCCTATTAAAAAATTTAGGGTTGTATCTATTTTTTATTGCCAAATCACAAAAAAAATAAAAATAAAAAATTTTGTCCAAAAAAAAAATTGGGGTGGGCTACCCTTATCACTTAGGGGTATAAAAAATAGATAACAACCTACTCTCAGACCTATTGAATATACATATAAAATTTCATCAAAATCGGTCAAGCCGCCGTTTCGGAGAAGTATGGTAAATGGTAACAAAAATTAAAAGGGAACAACCCCTATTAAAAAATATTTAGGGTTGAAATTTTTGAAAATTTAGGGTTGTATGTATTTTTAATTGCCAAATCACAAAAAAATAAAAATAAATTTTGTCGAAAAAATACAAAAATAAAAATTGGGGTGGGCTACCCTTATCACTTAAGGGTATAAAAAATAGGTAACAGACCTACTGAATATACATATAAAATTTCATCAAAATCGGTCAAGCCGCCGTTTCGGCGGAGTATGGTAAATGGTAACAAAAATTAAAAGGGAACAACCCCTATTAAAAAATAGGGGTTGATGTTAGAAGAGTGAAAATTTAGAGTTGTATGTATTTTTAATTGCCAAATCACAAAAATAAAAATAAAAAATTTTGTCCTAAAAATAAAAAAATTAAAATTGGGGTGGACCACTCCAACTTAGGGGTATAAAAAATAGATAACAACCTACTCTCAGACCTACTGAATATACATATAAAATTTTATCAAAATCGGTCAAGCCGCCGTTTCCGAGGAGTATGGTAAATGGTAACAAAAATTAAAAGGGAACAACCCCTATTAAAAAATAGGGGTTGATGTTAGAAGGGTGAAAATTTAGGGTTGTATGTATTTTTAATTGCCAAATCACAAAAATAAAAATAAAAAATTTTGTCCTAAAAATAAAAAAATTAAAATTGGGGTGGACCACTCCAACTTAGGGGTATAAAAAATAGATAACAACCTACTCTCAGACCTACTGAATATACATATAAAATTTCATCAAAATCGGTCAAGCCGCCGTTTCGGAGGAGTATGGTAAATGGTAACAAAAATTAAAAGGGAACAACCCCTATTAAAAAATAAGGGTTGATGTTAGAAGGGTGAAAAGTTAGGGTTGTATGTATTTTTAATTGCCAAATCACAAAAATAAAAATAAAAAATTTTGACCAAAAAATAAAAAAATAAAAATTGGGGTGGACCACTCCAACTTAGGGGTATAAAAAATAGATAACCTACTCTCAGACCTACTGAATATACATATAAAATTTCATCAAAAACAGTCAAGCCGTTTCGGAGGACTATGGAAATGGTAACAAAAAATTAAAAGGGAACAACCTCGATTAAAAAAATAGGGGTTGATGTTAGAAGGGTGAAAATTTGGGGTTGTTTGTATTTTTTAGTGCCAAATTTCCAAATTATAAAAAAATTAAAATAAAAAATTTTGTCCAAAAAATAAAAATTGGGGTGGGCCACCCTTATTACTTAGGGGTATAAAAAATAGATAACAACCTACTCTCAGACCTACTGAATATACATATAAAATTTCATCAAAATCGGCTAAACCGTTTCGGAGGATTACGGTAACAGAAACTGTGAAACGAGAATTTTATATATTAGATTATAAATAAGTGTTAATAACCTCGGGCAATTATTGTCCCTCCGGGCCATAGGCACTCGGGACAGAAACTTTGCCCTCGGTAATTAACACCGTTATAATACCCTTATTGCATAAATAACTAATATATCATATTAATTTTGTTTAATAGTTTCAAATCAATTATAAATATACAGGTATTTTTTGTACCAGGTTGTAATATCTGTTAATTTTGATGTTAAGTATGTTGTTCCTGTGATATTTTATATTTTTTAAAAGTAAATTTACTAATAATATCAATTAATAGATATCTTTCTTTTCAGAACTGCAAGCAGCTCTAGCCCTTCACAGTTGTTTTTACAGTATAGAGTCAGCCAAAAACTGTCTAGAAAATTATTTTACGATAAGAACGTTATGTCCAGATTATTTCTCAAGCTTCGATCCTAGTAAAAATGACCTTTTGAAACAACAAATGAATGTCAGGTAAAACATATAGAGAGATAAGGTAGGAAGAATGCAAAAAGTTGCAAAAACTTTTCTTTGTCAAGAAACTTATAATCACTATTACTTTTTGACCTCCCCCTATATATTCATGCTTATTCTCTTCTTATTCTCCCTGTCTCTATATCTCTAGTTTTAATGAACATATACAGGGTGGTCCGAACTATATTCCAGAAACTTCGGCAGCATATTCTGCAGATAAAAATAAGTAAAAAGTTCCTATAAATGACCACCGACACCCACCGACTAAAACAGCGAACAGGGGAGGTTATTGCGGCCGGAAAGTTCGCTAACCCCTGGGGCGCTATTCTGTACACGGCATCGACAATTGTCGATATCGGTAAGTTACGACAGCTCTCGATACGTATTTGTATATAGTAAAAATGTGTTAATTGTTGTTGTCATAGTTATCGATCAGAATCGCAAATTTGTACCGACGAGGATCGGTATCTCTACCGTGCCCTTGTTAAACTCACGGTAGAGATACCGAGAGTCGTCGGTACAAATTTGCTATATGTCCTATTAATGACAGCTAAAACTATGACAACAACAATCAACATGAGGCTCATTGGCCAAACCTTTGAATAAGAAGACTAAGGAAGGAGCATAATGCTATCCATGTATTCATGCATGGTGGGCGGAAAAGGCACCATAAAAGCTCTCTAGGGTGGGGATCCTTGACAGTTCTGTTTGACGATTCATTTGACACATTTGAATTTGATTTGAAATTTTGTGGATTTGTCAGTCTTTACGGAGCTGATTTTATGTTATTTATTATTTATTCTACTACTGATAGTTGTATAAAGGTAGTAAATCTAGATGGAAATTGTGGCAGAACTTAAATTAACAGTGACACTATCGCGATTTATCGAAAAACACTCTAAAATAGTTGGTTGTGTAGCGTACGGTAGATCTCTGCAAAAATTGAGTGAAATAATGGAACAACTTTTCGCTAGTAAGTGACTATATAATATACATACGTGTAGTAAACCGATCATTTATGAAATTCACTTAAATTAACTAAATTATATATTTTTCTTGCATTTTAGCTTTTATTTATTACTTGTCAAAGATTAGATGTCAAAGAATTTAGATACGTTAATTTGACTTACCTGCTTCAGTAGCGTATCGGATGTTTGTGTTAATAAATACTTATTATAACTTATCTATTTTTATTAGAGTTATATATTTTTATAACAATTTTAATAACTACCAACATTTATTCACAACGTAAAATAAAACAACAAATTATTGAGTCTACCCCACGTCTACCCTACATCATAGTTTTACATTTTTTAAATAAAATTAGAACGACACTGAGTGTCCCGGAATTTAAGTCGGCCATATTTGAGGCCCATCGCGGTGTACCTAAGATTTTTGATATGCTCCTTCCTTAGTCTTCTTATTCAAAGGGCCAAACGTACCGATAGCTGTCGGTAACTTAACGATACCGACGATTGTACAGAATAGCGCCCCAGGGGAATCGGTGAGTTACCGATAGCTATCGGTACGTATTTGCATATAGTAAATATGTGTTAATTGTTGTTGTCATAGTTACCGATCGGCCCTATGACAGATATCGCAAATTTATACCGACGACTCTCGGTATCTCTACCGTGAGGTTGACAAGGGCACGGTAGAGATACCGATTTTCGTCGGTACAAATTTATGATATCTGCCATAGAACCGATCGGTAACTATAACAACAACGATTAACACATTTTTACTATATACAAATACGTATCGAGAGCTGTCGTAACTTACCGATACCGACGATTTTACAGAATAGCGCCCCTGGTCGGTTTGGCGGCATTTAAGACGTAACGAGGACAGTTAAATCATAGCGCTGTGGAGATATTTTTATTTTATTTTCTTTCTAGGAAAAAATCCAAATAAAAATGAAACTTCAACACCCTGTATCTCCGAAACTAAGCATTTTTGCTAACCACTACTAACCATTACTCGTAGCGATTTTTCCCAAGAGACCTTTTTTACGTAAAAGATGTCGTAAATGTATATTTTTTACTCAGTAGTTCTATACAGGTACGGACAAAAAGTTATTGTTATTACTCTTCAAACCAGTTAAAAATATGTCGGTGGCAACCCCCACCAAGTAGGAGTCATATTGACATTAAAGTCAAATTTCTCAGATCAAAAAGCTCCCAGACACCAATTTTCATCGAAATATTGACGTTACTTCAGAAATTATTTGGAAAAAATCAAAAAAAAATGAAACTTCTACACCCTGTATCTCCGAAACTAAGCATTTTAGGACATACATTTATAGGAACCTTTTTACTTGTTTTTATCTCCAGAATATGCTGCTGAAGTTTCCGGAATACAGTTCGGACCACCATGTATAGCCCTAGCAACGAAAGATGGCGATGACGTCAGAGTATTTTTATATTTTTATTCGATACTTTCTAGTCTTTTGACTTTTCTACCCGGCACAACGAAAAATGGGGACAGCATAGCCCTTACAAGACTTATGGACACGAACCCGGACGTTTATAATCCGCAGGTTGGCTCTAAAATGTTCGATATGCTTATGATGCTGCGAATGTATACAGTGGGGCCCACAAATGGTATAGTAGTTGTCATGGATATGAAGGGGAGCGTTTTTATGCACGTGACAAAGATGAATTTGGGGGAGTTCAAGAAATTCATGGTCTATCTGCAAGTAAACTTTGATTTTTATTTATCTATTACTTATCTCGGTTCATTTTTTTAAAATTCTATATCAGAGACACTGTATTATTTCACTGTCTCTGTCTTTGACGTTGACTTGAACAATCCTCTGTCTTTCTTTTGTGTATAAATGTTATTTTACAAGAAATAAATTCGAATTTTAGTCCAGATATGCTAATAGAGTCAAAATATTATTGTTATATTATGCTTAAATTATATTAAAATGATATACAAACATCTTCCAAAGTACAATATACATATACACTACTGGCAAAGGAATATTAGCAATAGGAGGTTTTCAATGCGATAAAAAAAGATGGTAAGGCTGCAAAATACACTGCAGTGCAACAGAGACGGATAAAGTGTCTTTTCCCTACCATCGTATAGGGGAAGTGATCATAGAAGTGATACGACGAGAGAGCCCTTGCGAGAGGGGGCGCCGGGCGGGTCTTTAAGACGCTTGTGTGGGGGCTACCGCCTACTAATAGAACAGAATCGAAAAAATAGAAACAGGACGGACAGTGTTGCCATTCAATTAAATCGAAATTATGTTGGCTTGTCAAAATCCTAAATCTTCTAATCCCATTATCTTGCTACTTAATGAAATATTAAATAAAGTACGAAACAATTTTACGAATGTTTTCTCTAGGCACATAACTTCTTTCTAAAACGAAAAGTAACATGCAAAACTTTGATATCATTTCTAAAATAGCAAGTGCAATTCTATGAAATGGCAATACTGTACGATCTTCCTAGCAGTCGCCCCGACACAGTCGGTCGGCGGCGGCGCTTCACAAAGCCGCGGCTGTGACAAAGGAATTAGGCCGAAAAAAACTTTATAAGGAGTAGACGAACAGGGTTGCCGGGTTTGTTAGATTATAATTCCATACGAGAACAAAATTCTCGGTAGATCTTCAACAAAAATTAAAAGTACAGAAACGAAATAAAATATAATATTTAAGTCCAAAATTAGCATTCCTATGTGTCGTAATAATAGATCACTCAAATAAAATACAAATATAATAAATATAACAAGAATTAGAAATAGCTAGGTATATTATTTAATATTAAAAAAAATATTGAATTAAATAATATTAATATATTAATAAAAACATATAAAACTATAACAAGTAGGGATAGCAGTCACAAATTAGTGTAGCAGTCACTTTTTACCTTTGTACAAATTTTGATCAGTGATATCTAAAATTAATTTCATTTCAATGGGAAAGCTGTAGCAACTCTCAACTCTTTTTCATATTAATATATTTTTTGACGGGAAAATCACTAAAATATTTGTCCGAATTTAGGTTGTTTCTTAACTTAAATTTTGTTTTTTGTTTACATTTTTTGGGGGAAAATATGGGTTCAACTTTAGTAGATGAATGAAATAAAATCTTTTCAAAAGATATCAACTTCTTCGGGCATGTCGCCAATACCGCGCCTAATAAGGAGTAATAAGGATTTTTAGGAATATCTCTGTAACTCTGCAACTAGACAGAACAATGACCTGTATGTGTGTTATTACTAAATAAAATTTAATGAAACAATAATAAAGTCAGATTATACAGATTCCAACGCGGCAGTCGCTTAATTTTTAGTCAAATAATTCAGCTTTTTAAAAGTGCTTTTATTGTAAAAACTAAAGACGCAGTTGAATATATCGTTAGATTTTTCTTTAAATCGGTAGATCGGTAGCTTACAGACGAAACCGGTAGACCTGGCAACTCTGTGATGAACTGACGGGAGTCGGAATTGCGAGGTGCGGAGGCGCGGGAAGGGAAATAAAATAATGGCGATAAATAAAGGACAGGGAGATGGGTATCATGAGTGGATGGGAGGTGGCGGAATTTCCAAAATTTGTTATCTTATCGGAGTTTGTCTAAGTAGACAGTGGTAGTGGAAGTGGAAACGGGGAAGTTGTTGTCCATCTCTGTTTAAGCATAGACTTTTTATAGGCGTTTCATTCCAATGCATGTAATTCCTATGCCTAGAGATCCATTGCCGGGCCTGTATATCAGTTATATTTTAATCGAAAAAATTGCTACAAAGCAAAAATTTGCTATGAGTTCGTTTCAAGTAGGTTATAGATTTTTTCTTTTGTTTAACTATATATAATTTAAGTTTATAAATGTTCTTTTGTAGACTGCTATGCCTATAAGATTAAAGCAAGTCCATTTTATTAATACTGTACCTTTTATGGACAAGCTGATGTCTATGTTAAAGCCTTTTATAAACAAGGACATGTTCGATAAGGTAAATGAATTAAATTTTGTACTAATTTCTATACATTCATGTAAAGTCTGTCTAACAAAAGGATATTTGACAGTGACAGTTGTCTTCTGTCATTTTAATGCACAGATAAATAGTATTGTCTGTCATTTTTTGGATGTGGTCTGTCGAAATCTTCCCCGACTAGTTGGTCAGACCATACCTATTAGACATAGAATTATATTTTTTGGTTTAGGGTAGTTATTGTTAACATTTTTTTTTACTTTCAGATAATTATTCATACAAATAATGAAAATTTGTACAAGTATGTCCCTCGTGAGGCAATGCCCGTAGAATACGGAGGCAAAGCTGATTCAGTAGATATACTTTTTGGTAATTATTATACGAAATAAAAAAATTAGAGTCTTTAATATGTTATATTTTTTCTGTAATTATTATAGTTTCCTAATATTTTTTTTGATAATTTTTAGAGGAGTGTAAGAAATCTATTTATGACAATTTAGAGTTCTATGAAATGCTGGAGAGTCAAGTGGTTGATGAGAATAAACGAGTAGGTCCTAGGAAAAATGTCGATAACATGTTTGGTTTCGATGGAACCTTCAAGAAGCTAGAAGTGGATTAGATTTAAACTACATACGTTATAAATCATTTTGTATCGGTTGAGAAGTTTTGAAATTTGTAATTTTTATAAAATATTATTTTTATAATAAAGAAACAACCAAAAATTATTTGTCGTTTATTATTAATTTATTGTTAGTTAAATCTATTTAAATCAATCAATCGCAGCTATAGTAATACTGGTTGCCTAAATTGAAACTCAAACAAAGAAGAAATCGCAATCGCACTTTCCTACGAGAGCCAATCACAGGTTACGATTGTGATTTTAAAATCGCTGCGATTGACCAAATCAAGCTACGAAAAGAATTCTACTCTAATCAAACTGTAACCGCCTAGAATTATTTCTCCCTACCTCTATATCTCTGGAGGTCTCTATATCTTTACCTATCCTTTCTATTGACAGTTATACAAACATATTCGCTGTGGCACAAACCTTTTCCCACATTTCCCTCTAATTCTCTAATTGGCTAATTTTTTAAAATCGTCCGAACTCATCCACGACATACGTAAACCTTTCTCTCTCTTTCCGATACAAGAGCAATCAAACTGCGACGCTGATCCTTGTGACGCGATTCGTTTATCAAAGTGACACACTTTTGACTGCAATTGACAGTTATGTACAAATATTTTCTTTAAATTTGTATAAACACCTTTGAATTTCGTTTTAAAACAGAGAATTTATTATCAAACAGTGTTTTAAATGTAAAACAACTCAAAATGCCAGCTTCTATAGGCGTTAATCTTCGAGTCACGGGAAACTGTCGACAAGGAGGGCGAAAATACATGGAAGATTTTTTCTCAGTTGCATATCAACAAACTGAAGACGAAAAAGATTTAGAATACGCCTTTTTCGGTATTTTCGATGGACACGGGGGTGCCGAAGCGGCAGCTTTCGCTAAGGAACATCTTATGGAAACCATAATAAAGCACAAGAACTTCTGGAGTGATAACGATGAAGATGTCTTACGAGCTATCAAAGATGGGTATATAGCTACGCATTATGCTATGTGGAGAGAGCAACGTAACTACCTGTAGCCCTAATAGTGCTAATTATAGTAAATTTTATATTATTTACAGCAAAATGGCCAAAAACTAGTTCTGGATTACCTAGTACTGCCGGAACAACAGCTTCAGTAGCTTTTATACGAAGGGGGAAGATTTATATAGGTCATGTTGGTGATTCTGGTATAGTTTTAGGTAAAATGAACCGGTGAAACTATGTATTATGGGTTATTTATGGTCTATTTGTAGGTTATCAAGAAGCTGGAAGCTCTGAATGGAAAGCAAAAGCCTTGACACAAGATCATAAACCGGAAACTCCAGAGGAAAATGCCAGGATTTTAAGTTGTGGAGGGAAGGTTGTGGCAAAGACAGGTAACTTTATGGTTTTACAGAGAAAAGAGAGTTTTATTGAGAAAATAATTCCTGTATTTGTTTAGGTGTACCTAGAGTAGTATGGAATAGACCAAGAATTGGCCATCAAGGACCAGTTAGACGCTCAACGCCCATCGATGCAATACCATTTTTAGCTGTAGCAAGAAGTTTAGGAGACTTATGGTCATACAACTCCCAACTTAATCAATTTATTGTATCTCCTTATCCAGATTGTTCAGTTTTGCCAATAGATGCTAACGTACATCGATGTCTGATCTTTGGTTTGTCATATTATTTTTTTAAATTTTTTATTTTAATTATTTTATCTGGTTTTAACAGGAACTGATGGTTTGTATAACATGTTAAGTCCAGCCATGGCTGTCCATATAGTGCAACAGGCTGAGAGGCATAACGAATCTGCTGCTTTGGGCGATAGTGTAAATAAAGTGTGGCTGAATCCTAGTAAACTTTTGGTGCAAAGAGCGTTAGAAAGGTACTAGTTTATACTGTCTGTTTTTTAAGGTAGTTTTATTGAAAAAATTTGTATTTAATACAGGTGGGCGACTACAAAATTGAGGGCTGATAATACGTCAGTTGTGACGTTGATGTTGGATCCTCCAGGACCGCCGAGGGCGCAAGTGTTGAAAGACAGAAAGAAAAATCTACCGGAAAGCGGATTAAAGATAATGACAAGGTAATTTTTATAAACATTTTTAATAGTATAACACAAAACAGGTTTTTTTCCTCAAACATTTTTTTCAACATTTTTTTTACCATTTTTTTCTTTTTCGTCATTTTTTCCCAACATTTATTCCAACATTTTTTTCTTTTTTATCATTTTTCCCAACATTTTTTTCAGTATTTTTTCCAGCATTTTTTCAACCTTTCTCCCCCAACATTCTTTTCTTTCAATATTTTTTGCCCAACATTTATTCCAACATTGTTTTTATTATTTTTTCCAACATTTTTGTTCAACATTTTTCCCCCCCAACATGTTTTTCTTTCAATATTTTTTTCCAGTACCATTTTCCCAACATTTTTTTCTTACAATATTTTTGCCCAACATTCCACCTTTTTTTTCAGTATTTTTCTCAGCATTTCTCTTTTTCAACATTTTTTCAAACTTTTTGCCCCATCATTTTTTTCTTTCAATATTTTTTGCCCAAGATTTATTCCAACATTTTTTGTTTTGTTTTTTATTATTTTTCCCAACATTTTTTGTTCAACATTTTTTTTAGCATTTTTTCCTGCCAACATGTTTTTTTTTCAGTATTTCTTCCCAGCATTTATTCCGACATTTTTTCTTTTTTACCATTTTTCTCAACATTTTTTTCTTTTCATAAATTTTTCCCCACATTTTTTCCCGCGACATTTTTTTCTTCCAATATTTTTTGCCTAACATTTTTTTCAGTACCTTTCGCAGTATTTTTTGTCCAATATCTTTTCCAACATTTTTTCTCAATATTTTTTTAGCATTTTTTCTTTTTTTATTTTTTCCAACATTTTTGTGACATTTCCTCTTTTTCAACATTTTTTCAGTATTTTTCCCCGCAACATTTTTTCTTTCAATATTTTTTTCACCATTTTGTCAGACATTTTTATTATTAATAATTCTTGAATATTTTTTTCCCAACAGTTTTTCTTTTTCAATTTTGTTTTCATTTTCAACATTCCATTTTCCATGATATTTTCTTTTTTTCAACAATTTTTCCAAGATTTTTTCAGTATTTTTCTCCCCCACATTTTTTCCTTTCAATATTTTTTCCCAGCATTTATTCTGACATTTTTTTCTTTTTTTCCATTTTCTCCAAAAAAAATTCCAGCATTTTTTTTTCATAATTTTTTCCTTACATTGTTTCAACATTTTCTTTCATCAACATTTTTTTCTTTCAATATTTTTTGCCCAACATTTTTTTCAGTATCTTTCCCAGTATTTTTTGTCCAATATCTTTTCCAACATTTTTTCCCCGATATTTTTTTAGCATTTTTTCCTTTCAACGTTTTTTTCTTTCTCTATTTTTCCCAACGTTTTTTGTGAGTTTTCTCTTTTTTAACATTTTTCCCAAGATTTTTTCAGCATTTTTCCCCCCAACATTTTTTTCTTTCAATATTTTTTCCAGCATTTTGTCAGACATTTTTATTATTGATTAATAATTCTTGAACATTTTTTTTTCAACCTTTTTTACCTTTTTCAATTTTGTTTTCATTTTCAACATTTTTAGATATGACGAGGCTGCCAAAAGTGTTCAAACAACGGAAACTATACAAGAAACTGTGACAGATGGAAATAAACTTGTTGTACCTATAGAAACCAGTACAAAGGAACAAAATACCGAGGAAAAAATAGAAGAAAATTGTGATAAAACCATTTTGGACGAACCAAACAGCAATATTTCGATCTCTTCCAGCGATGTTACGAGTAATTCCCCCCTTAAAGAACCAAATTTCGTTCCAAAATTACGAGAAAGTACCAGTTTCGATCCTAGAGACCCTGAGCTTGTTGAAAACATCGAAAAAGGAACCAGCGAAAAGAAAGTTGAGGATAATACAATTCAAATAAATGAAATTTCTAGTAGTAATATTGAAGAAAGTATAGTGGAAGAAGATAAAATTGCGAATGAAAACAATAATACGGAAGTACAAAGCCAGAAAGAGAAGAAAGCTTTAAGAAGGAAAATGGAGGCTGAAGAAAACGTACCGAGAAAAAGCCTGAGACTTAGTTTAAATCAAAAATTTTTAGAGGAAATGCGAAAACCAGCGCCCTGTACTTTGGCCGAAGAAAAACTGAAAAAAATTGCCGAAGAAGCTGAAAAAATAAAAATACAAAAAGAAAAAGAAAACGAAGAAAAAACTGAGAAAAAATCGAGTAAAAAAATGACAATTACCGAAAAATTTCTTAGAGGAAACAGGACGAATTTCAAGAGAAAAAAAGCGGTTAAAGAGGCTTTAAATAAGAAGAAAATCAAGCTGGCTTTGGACGCAGTTCTTTTGAAAACTACCCGAAGAAAAAATAGTATAAAACCTAGAGAGGAAAATAAAGAAACAAAAAAAGTCGGTCAAAAGAGTGAGACTAAAGCAACTGGTGGGTTCAGTGGGAAAGTTAAGAAATTTAACAAAAAAATGGTGCCAGGTAAAAAAAACGTTTCTTCTGCTAAAGCCTTAAAATTTGTGATAGAGAACAATATTAAAAAGCCAATAGATAAGAAACTACAGAAAGTAAACGATAATGTAAAGCAGGTGCAAAAGGAATTACTGATCAGATGTAAAAGGGATATGAATCTTCCAAAAACGAAGCCACAGATTAAGAGAGAAATGAGGAGTACGGCGGCTTCTGAAGCTCCTTTTAGGAGGTCCTTGCGGGGCGCTGATGTGAAGGAATTAAATGCCAAAGAAAATATAACTCCCAAAGGTAAGTGTCAATCAAACAAACAAGAAATTTCAACATTTTTTCCAACATTTTTTTCCAATTTAGAGAAAAAATTGGACAAACAATATCAAACAACATTTTTCCAACATTTTAACTCTAGACAATATAATCTATACTTTATACTAATATATAAAATCCTTAAGTGACTGACATACTGATTAATCACGATCCTGCTCAAACCACTCAACGTAAGAAGCTCAATTTTGGCATACATGTTGATTCTAGGGTGTAGAGGTTCGATAAGAAGGGATTTTCCGAAATTCCAGTTCCAAGAGGGTGAAACCACCCCTCAAATATTACAATATTTTTTATTTAAAAAACGGTCAAGTTTCCGAAAAAACGCTTAAACACGTATATTTTATTTTGTTTTTTTACATATTTTAAGATTTTTTAAAAATGTATACAGGGTGTTTCGAAAAATCTGGTCATTGATTAATCACGATCGCCTGCTTAAAGCGCTTGACGTAAAAAGCTGATTTTTGGAAAACAGATTGACTTTAGGGTGTAGAGGTTGGATAAGAAGGGATTTTTCGAAATTCGAATTCTAAGGGGGTGAAACTATCCCTCAAATATTAAAATATTTTTTATTTAAAAACCGGTGAGTTTTTCGAAAAAACTCTTAAACACGTATATTTTATTTTGTTGCTTTACATATTTTAAGATTTTTTATAAATTTATACAAGGTGTTTCATAAAATATGACCATTGAGTAATCACGATTCTGCTTAAACTGCTTGACGTTTAAAGCTGATTTTTGGTATACGGATTGACTGTGGGGTGTAGAGGTTCAATAAGGAGGGGTTTCTCGAATTTCAAATTCCAAGAGGGTGAAAATATTACAATATTTGTTATTTAAAAAACGGTTAGTCTTTCGGGAAAACGCTTGGACAAGCATAATTTATTTGTTTTTTTTTACATATTTTGAAATTTTTTAAAAAATCATACAGGATGTTCCAAAAAGTTGGGTAATTGATTAACCACGATTCTGCTTAAACTGTTTGACGTAAAAAGCTTATTTTTGGCAAACGGATTTTTCGAAAGTGAAATTCCAACGAGTTGAAACTACCCCTCCAATATTACCAAGTTATATAATAATATCGCCATATTGTTTTTTCTCATGCTGACATAAAAGTGAGAAAATTTTATCCAGTTTGTATGTTATTGGAAATTCTTGCTTTGCTTTATCATCACCATTACAAATGATTAATTCGACGCGAACGAAGTCGCTGGTACACGCTAGTAGATAAATAATATCAAAACCTTTTTTCCCACATTGTTTTCAAGTATTTTTTTCAATATAACATTTTTTCAACATTTTTTTTCAACATTTTTTTCTAACTATTTGTTATAAATTTTTGCCCAATATTTCAACCCTCGAGATGGACAAACAAATGGATAGATCACAAAAAAAAGATGGATGTTGTTTGATACATTTTTTTGGTCATTTTTTTCCAACATTTTAACTCTAGACAATATAATGGATAAACAATATCAAAACCTTTTTTCCCAACATTTTTCAACTTTTTTTTTCAACATTTTAAGCGGAGACAAAAAAATAGACAGACACTATCAATAAAAAAATAATAACAAATATAACTGTCATCATCAAAAGTCATAAAATATAAGAAGTACAACAAAATACCATATGATCGAAAAAAAAACGGCGTCAAAGACGGCTGGGAAATGACAATCGATGGTAATTTTGGCGAGGTCAAGCTCTAGACGTTATTAGTTGGACTGTACTCTTCTTTACTGCCTGTAATTTATTTTTATATTCAGTAAAAATGATTTCTAAATAGTGTATAGTTTAAAATTGGAGAAAATATAGTTTTTTGGAAATAGATTTGTGTCTGGAAACGTACTATCGTTTTTTAATCTTTCTATAATTATTGTTGTAGTAATTTTTTGACAAGTTTTATGTCAATTTCAAGTAAATGGCGTCTAGAGAATGACCTCGTCAAAATTATCATCAGGATTGTCATTCCCCAGCCGTTTTTTTCGATCAAGCAGTACATTCCAACACTATTTTTTCATATTAAAATTGTACTAAATACCGTACAAAATTTCGGGCAATTACATCCCTGTTTAACTGTAAAGCCCCGTTCTCAGAACTGCGTCGTGTCGACAGCGACACTGATTGACACTTCAAACGACCAATGGGAGCTGTACTAAATTTAAAATTGACAGCTGTTTGAATTTTGTACAAATCTGATTGGTTCTTTTGTCGTGTCGCTGGCGACAGTCGCAGTTCTGAGAACGGGGCTTAAAGCCCCGTTCTCAGAACTACGTCGTGTCGACAGCGACACTGATTGACATTTCAAACAACCAATAGGAGCTCTACTAAATTTAAAATTGACAGCTGTTTGAATTTTGTACAAATCTCATTGGTTCTTTTGTCGTGTCGCTGGCGACAGTCGCAGTTCAGCCCCGTTCTCAGAACTGCGTCGTGTCGACAGCGACACTGATTGACACTTCAAACGACCAATGGGAGCTGTACTAAATTTAAAATTGACAGCTGTTTGAATTTTGTACAAATCTGATTGGTTCTTTTGTCGTGTCGCTGGCGACAGTCGCAGTTCTGAGAATGGGGCTTTCTGAGAACGGAGCTTAATATTTCAAGTGGATATTTAAAAGAGGCTGTACTTAATCTGCCGTTAAACGGTAGCTTACTAAAATGCCGTTATTAGGTATGACGTCGTTGATGTGACGCACTTGAAGGCTTTATGATATATAGAAATATTATAAGGACTAACCAACGCTATCCACCCCACCAAATAACCAACTTAACCAACGCAACTAACCTCGACACTGATAAAAAATATAAAAAACAAATATAAATTAGTAAAAATCAACCAACCCCACCAAATAACCAACTAACCAATGAATTAACACCCTCCAAATAACCACGCTAACCAACCCGCCAAATAACTAAACCAATCCAAATAAAAAGAGTGAAACCAATGCAATAAGATCACGCTATAAGCAAAAAAAAATATAAAAAAGTCTTGGTCGTCGGCGTGAGATTTGAACCCGGACCATTCGCTTACGAAGCGATAGCCTAGTCACTGACCCACAGGTGCTCTTGCAGAAAGTTTAAGGCTAGGCATTACTTTCCGCCGACATGAACGACGTCACAATATCTATTAACGGCATTTTAGTAGGCTACCGTTTAACGGCTGTTTAAGTACATCGTTTAAAAAATTTGTTTTAATGCACATAAAGATTATTATTTATTAAATATTAAATAAGTGTACTTTGGTTTTAGGTGCAAAAGTAACAAGTAACAAAAAAATTCTTCAGGAAGAATCTTCTAGGAAAAATACGCTAAGACAAAGGATTCAAAATAAAACTAAAGTTCTAAAAAAAACTGTTTTAAGAAAGTGAAATAGGCAAAATTAACAGAGTTTTATTATTATTTAACTGAAGGATAAGTTATTTTAAGGGAATAATTTTCATTATTTACATTATTTTTGGTAAATATGTATTTATGTTTATGATTGTTCCCACATTGTTCTTATTGAAGGTATATTTATTACTGTTATATTTATAATTAAGATTCGTTCAGAAACAGCTCTGTTGCATTAATTGATGAAAAAATATTGTTAACCTGTATAATCTTTTTATATACATACTGTATGTACTTTAATTAATGCGTATTCCTTTTCATAATGTGTTTTGTTTAGTTTATATCAAAGATTTTTATTATCTCAAACAATTTAAGGTTTTTGGCATGATGTATTGTTAGATTTATATTATAAAAACTTTCTTTACTGGATTTTAAAATAGTGACTGTCCCAGATGCTGGTTTTCTAGTAAATTTTGGTTCAATGTTACAAATAAGTACCTGCTTTCTATATTCTTTTTAAAGTTGGTTGTATTAAAAGTTTTCTTTTACATATCTTGATCAAAAATGAAGAAAAAATAACTAAAAATGAGAAATTTGTGCCTTTGTTACCATGATAGACATAATATTTAATGAAAAATCGCATAAAGATACAAACTATATTTGTAAAAGGTTTATTTTCTGAGAAATAAAAGTTTCTAGTTAACGAGAGTATTTTTTTATTTCTTCACTTACACAAATGTTTTATAACACTTATAAAATAAATTAGAGAACATTGAACTTTGGTTTGAGTATTCTTCCATCAACAAAATATAATAGTACTACATTTTACAATCAAAATTAAGCTCGAATCTTACAAGTTAAACACCGATTCAGTATGTAACTCAGGCTGGTTATATCCTAATTCTTCGGGAGTGCTGATGCCTAATTCAGTCAGTGTAGGTCTCAACTCCTGAATAATCCATGGGTATATATCTGGCCTCCCACCACACTTATCTTTAACAGCCTCGAGAATTCTTACAGACAGAGCAAAATCATTCACTCTACGACAGGCTTTCAATGCTGCAATGAGGATTTTCGGTTCTGGGACAAGATCGTGACCCCACAAATCAGTGACTCCCCTGCGAATGTCCCATCCATCGATGTCTTTTTGGTTGAAAAAGTTCTCGTAACGTTGGTCGAATTGTTCGTCAGTTTCTGTCGAGTGGGAACTTGCTAATTTCTGACTGGTTGCGATGTTCCTCGAGATAGTTGGTTGTAAATTGTTTTTTAAAAGGTTTTGGGCACGAACTACGGTGTTACGGAACATTTTGCTGCCTTTTTGTAACTTTAAAACGACCTTTAAAGAACGGAATGAAAGTCTTATGTAATGTGAAAGTTTTCTAACCTGAGAATTTTGAAGTGTCAAGTGTCAGTGTCATCGAATTCTTACCACTGATTAAAGAAAACTTGTGCAAGGTTTAGGGAGTCGGTATTACTGGTTGCATACAAACATACATTTACTTCGTTCTAGACGTTCTAGACGAAGCAAGGCAACTATTGAGCATGACCAATGGAATTCAACCATTTAGGATGTGTCCCAAGATATAGTTCATTGGTCCCAAGTAGGCAATATACAAACACGTTATGTATTAATGGTTGCCTACTTCGGATTACATTAGTTATTAAATAAATTATTCTAAAGCTTTGAATAGTTTGAATATAATATTAAAGTTTTAAAGCTTAACAAAATAATGTGTGAATATAAGAATCTTATGAAAAATATATTATAAACTCTTTCATATTATTTATTTGTATTTACACGATCGAACGACAATCGGTGCAAAAGGCAATTTCAGTTTTCCAAAAAGAGAAACTTCGCCCAGTCACCAGTCACAAGGCCCAGTCATTCAAGATTCAAGCCAATTCAAGCACTTCAAGGGAATATAATTTTTTAAACATTTTTTTTAAAACTCTATTGAAAGACAAGATTATTTTTTCAACCGTCAATAAATTTAAAAGCGTCAAATCATGAATACTATTGATGAATATTTACAAAAAAATATTAGGTACCTATTGTAGGTATAACATATTTTTTCCAAAAAGAAATAAGGCTAAACAAACAACACTATTGATTAATTTTAATTATTCATTTTAGCATCATTTTTAATGCCAGTTTATCAGGATGTTCATATGTTAGTTTTTTTAGGCGATTTTGATTGGCTTGTCTCTTTTTGGATTTCTTGTGGCGTACAACCGTCTTTGTGTTGAGATTTTTTTATTTGCAGGAATTTTTGTTGATTTTCCGATACAACAGTTCCCAATAAAGATTTTGATGGTTTTTGCATAACCGCTAATAAGGTCGGTTCCATAGGAGCTATAAGTTTTTTCAAGGCCTCCACCTGCTCCTTGGTCGTGACTTTATCCAAAACTTCATTAATATGATCCCTCATTTTTCTCACATCTTCTTCTACAGACTGATTTCTGGTAGCACCAGGTATATCAATTATTACTAATTGCACAAGGTCTTTTGTTTCGGCTTGTTTTGAATCTATTTCTATGCATAAATTATTTTCGTCTCGGTCATCTAAAAAAAACATAGATCTTATTACTATCAAAAAAAAGTCAGAGTTTTTAAACTGAGGATAATTTTTGAGGCTATTTTCACCGCAATCGACTCACTTTCAAGCTTGCTGAGAGATAGATGTCCTAAGTCACAATTTGTATGTCCAACATGTGTTTGCGTGAACATTATTTTGCACTGACCATTCTTCTCTGACAATACCTCAATTCTGGCTGGACAAAACCCATTTATTTTATTACTCCCCTTTGTCTTTAAGTGCCTGATCCCTTTACTTTCTGAGTTGAAAAAACCTGATCTATGGCAGTAATAACTAATTTTACTGCCTGATTTTTTGACAATTGTACCTCGATATTTGATAAATTTGGATTGTGTTTCCTTCTCTATATAGGCCATCCACAAATTAAATTCGTCAAATGTTTTGAACATCAATTCTTTCATAGTGATTTGAATATCATGGACGTTCTTAAAATGGTCATTAAACTGACATTTAAGGTGATTTTCATAAGAACACAAGGGACACTTCTTGGATCTATTCCTTTTTGAAATGCCAGCTTCCTGAGTATCGACACTATGCGTTTTCAAATGGGCATTCAAGTTTTTCTTATGACTAAAGTTTTTCGCACAAACACTACAAAGAAAATCATATTGTTTTTGATGTCTTTTCAGAGGAGCCAATTCGTCAAGTTCAACACTGTGAAACTTTTTAACATGTCTCCTAAGGTCACTATATCGAAGAAACTGCTTATTGCACCCACCGCACTTCATAATAAATACTGAAAATACTTATTAAACATTTGCAATTAATTTTCAGAATTGCCGGGCCGAGAAACGGGAAAACATGACCAAAAACCAAACTTTAACTTTGCTCGACTTTGCTTTAATGCACAGCTTTAATGTCAAAAACTCAACAAAAATGTCAAAATCCAGCTGCACAGGGGGGTGATAGTAAACCGGAAAATTGGAAACAGTTGTGGCGCGGTTCTACCCAGGCAGAAAGCATGGCCTTCTAGACTGTCCTAGACAAAAATCTGAATATTTCTATATGATTTCTGTCAGTTTCTGCTACGGAAAATTTTTATGCACGTCGGCGTCCTGTTTTTTGTCTTTGTCTGTGTGTACAAAGCGTCAGTCTCGAGAGGCCTCTGGCAAGGTCGGGCGCCATTTTAATTTTTGCCGTTTAGATTTGATTGGAAGTTTGTTTCTGATATTTCGGCTGAAATTTATAAGTACAAAGATGTTTTTTGATATAAAGTTCCTTGTTAACACTTTAATAAAGTATATATGATATTAATTACATGAAGAAAATGATGAAATCGACGTTTCGGCGTGTAGCAGGTATGGGCCATATTATAGGTAAAAATAGGTAATATATTAACTGTTTTTATATTTTTTTAGCTTTAAACCCAAGGATCTTGGGATATTCTTTCAAGGATTTTTCCGTATCTCTACTTTAAAGACTGATCGGTGATTTTGAGCAATTGAAAGCAAGTTATACAAGGTAAATTATGATTATTGAACTATTATTAGCCTACGTTAAATTTCTACAAGATGAACAGAAATGCGTAATTACATATCACATAGGTACCTATTATGTATTTTCATAGCAATAATGCTATAAATCTATGTATGTAGATTATTTTTAAAATACAAATGAGGTATTAGATGTATATGTATCATATTTTTTATTCATTTTATTTTCATTCAAGTCCTGTTTGATTTAATTCACAAAAGTCTTATGTAGGTACCTATATTTATATTTTTTACATATTTTTTTTGATTCCAGGTTTTGTGTGGGTTCCGGTTGCCTTTTTCCTGCTTCCAGTTATTTATCCGTGAAGCTGTGAAAACATTTATTTATCTTCAAGTTTCTGTAAGTCAATGCACTGTTACTTTACTAATTCGCTTTAACACAGCATCTCTGATATTATTTAAATATTTAATATTGATACAGTAGTTTATTGGTTTATAGCTCTTTAATTGTGTTGATTTGCATATTTACATTGTTCTAAATTCCAAATAAATATTTTTGAGTAATTTTGTTGTATTATTTACTACTAGAAAGAGTAAAAAGTATATTACCCTCATTTAAACCTCCTGAACAGCCCGCCATTAAAAACCGGAAACGGAAATAAATTTCATAATATTGAAATTGTCATGTCTATGTCATGTCAAATGTCCCAGCCGCCATATCTGAAAATTAGTTACCCAGGCAGCCACGCTGTTTCCATAATTTAACATTGACTTGACACTTCTTCTTGTATTTATTATTTTATGGCTGCACTCAAAAGGAACCCAAGGAACTAACGTGATTGGTCAAGCTTAATAGTTGCCTTGCTGGGGCTAGACCCCTTCTATATCTCTGGGCTAGACCATAGACTAGACATTGTCTACACACAAGCTTTGACACTTGACACAAGTATACATTTAATTTTTTATCTATTTTTTTACTAATTTAAAACGAAAAAACTATATATTGGTAATGGTGTGGATCCGGTGGCTGACCTTGAAGCCCATATTTGCTGCATTTGATCATCGATACTACGCAAGCGCACATCGTCGATGTTGCCAAATTGCAGTTTATTTTCGAATTATTTGCAGTTAAAATTTTTTTTTAGTGTTAATCAATAATAATACAAATTCTATAATTAATTTTATAATTTCAGATTAATCTTGATATCCAAAATTAAGGTAAGAAGAATATGAATTGAATTGAAGGAATAATGAAGATTGTGAAATGAAAGTATTATGAATATATAAAATTGTAATAATGATAACATTTATTATATATATTTACATTAGAATTAAAAATTATCATTTACGGTTTTTTTTTAATGGTTTTAAACTTATTAGAATTATTTAATTTCTAGTTATTTACAGGCAACAATAGTTTTGATTATATGTATTGATGTATTGAAGTACTACCATGACGAGTCTTATAGAACAATATACACGTCAATGAGATAGAGGTAACATTTTACCTGTAATGTTACTAATATAATATATTTTGATTATAATGTTTGTATCATAATTTCTTAAAAATATAGTGGATTAATAGCAATTTTTAGACATATATTTTATCGAAGAGTGTGTTGATAAGACTAAAATAAGCTGAATAAGCTTTATGTTTTATCTAGAAGGGAGATGGTTTGTGTCGTAGAATACATTACTGTATTTAATATCGTGTACTTTGATATTCTTTTCTTAATTTACTGTAATTTCTTGTTTCCTATAATGCCAAATCTTGACAATATGGTGAAGGTTGAGTTTTGATCTTATTAGTTTTATCCTTTTATCAAAGATAATTCTACTACTTGTGTTAACTATAATATTCTTTGGTTTTATACCTATGTTTATACAAGACCAAATTAAGACTTAGTTAGTTTGTGATTTATATTAAGATCTTTCTTATAATATTTGTTATGTCTTAATCTTAATACTATATTATGCTTTTGTCTGGAAAATAAATGTTAAAATATCTTAATTTTGCATATGCTATTCCATATCCTTCCATTAGAAAAAATATGGTTTATAAATCATATATGCTAAGAAAATCACATAAATTACTTGTAAGGTAAGAATAGAGAAATCTTAAGATAGCAGAAAAATAAATAATAAGCAGAATTAAACAAGGTAACTGTTAATTAATGTTGCTGAAGCTGATTGTACAATTTTAATTACGGAGGCTGCTAAAAGGTCTTTTAAGGCCTCCGTAGTTTTGATGTAATGTTAAAAAAACCTATTATGAACATGACATGGAGCTACAGCATTTAAAAATTAAAAAAAAAAGAAAAACTTGGACACGTCCCTTTTAATTTCCTGAATTTTTAATAAAACACTTTTTAAACGTAGCATAATAATCTAGAGCAATTAGATTAATTATGGGAATCTAGAGTTTTATTTCTATATAATTTTATTGACTATGAAAATACATAATAAGCGTTCACGTGTTGTGCGAAATATTAAAATAATATACCGCGTACTATGATTGAAAAAAAAATAGCGTCAGCAATGACTATGAAATGAAGATCGCTGTCATTTTATGGAAATGTCCTCAATCGTCATTTCCCAGCCAACAAACGCCGTTTTTTCGATCATACGGTATATATTGACAAAAAAAAACACTAAAAAGCACATATTTGTTTTCTACTGAAAATAATTCCAAAATAACTCGCAATCTGGCAACATCGAAGATGTGCGCATGCGTAGTGTCTGTGACTATATGCAGCAAAAACTCGTTTCAAGGTCAGCCACCGGATCCACACCATTACCCTATATATTTATCCAGGATTTTCATGGGTATTAATTTCAAGAAGACAGTTTCTTTTATATCGGACTATTCTTGATAACCTAAAATGAAATTAATCAATCAAGATAGTACGAACCATAGATAAATGATTCGGATTTATATGTCAAAATTCAAGTGACCTTCAAGTGACAGATAAATCCAATATGGCGATATCGGTGCAGTGTTGATATTTCGTCGCAGTGTTTTCGAACTTTTGTGTAGTGTTTTCGTTTAAAAACTGAGTTAAAAATCGCAAAACAACACCCCAGGAATTGTTAGTAAGTATATTAATTCCATTCTATGATCTATTTTTGTGAATCACTTCGATTTATTGATAGAAAACAATCATATTAAATTAAAAAATTTAAAAAATCAATGTCGTGTGAGGTTAAGTAAGATTCTAACTACCTGGGATTTCAAAGCTACCTGAAACCCGTTAGATTATACAGGTTTTTTTTATTTTAACTATAGAAATACGGTTTCCAAGAAACAGATTTTAAATTATATACACAATTATGTACATTCCTGAACCTGAAGTTGGTACTTTTTCGTTTTTATTTTATGTTAATGATTTTAGCAACGTTCAAGTTCAACATTGTTTTTATTTTTATTATTTATAATCATGACATATGTTTATTTAACTAGTTTAGATACAAACTAGGTAACTGTTTTGTATAATTCCAAAGAAAACAATAGCTATTATTATAGAGATATTTGTAATAAATAAATGTAGATAAAAGCAGACAGTAGATAACTTATATTTCCTTAAAAAATACGTAAGGTTATTGCACTATATTTCTAGACTATTTACACCCACTACATTGATTACTGAGGGTTGATAATAAAGACCCTTTTTATTTACTTATTGCCCTACCTTAAAATTGCATGAAAGCAATGGGTAGGTTTTCCTGTTGTAGGTACTTAGGGGTGAATAGTATATAGAGAAATTTATATAGGATGTGTTTTTTTAAGATAACTTAAAATGTTTATTTTTAAAAATAACTGATATGATTTTTGCAGTATTATTGACTTTATTTTGAATATTATAAATAAAACTAACGTTAACCATACCTAATGCATATTTTGTTGTAATCTATTTTAGTATTTGGGTTAAGTCTAGTTAAAAATGGGGTAAAGGTAACGAGACATACGTTAGTATTCGCATAATTGTATACAATACATACACGAGCTAGAAAATTTACATTCTTATTGCAAGGTCTAAGCATTGGCTAATTACACTCGTGTGTCTATTAATACAAACTGAATACAATTAATTTCATTTCTTCTGGTTTGTTTATGTTTATTTACCGTTTATGTTTAAATTCTATACCTATAGGGTGGCCAAGTTTATCGTTTTAAACTTGGTTTATTTAAAATTTAAGCTAAAGAATAATAACCCCAAAACTCTTAAATATATATACGTGTCGGTATGTGTCGATATGTATTATATTTGAATCTATAATTTATAGAATGTTTACTTTATTAGTAATTTTTTATTGGTTTTTGTCATTTTAGAGGTTACCATAACGTTTTTTTTTGATAATACTTTATTTTATTGATTTATTGGTCTAACGAATATCTTTTGACATTTTCGTATATTTATGGTTTATTCCAAGGATATTCAACTCCCTATAGCGGGCTATGTAGGAAAATATGCCGTATTTTGTCGAGGAAGACGATTACGTCACGACCAATGAGCGTCGAGTATTTGAAATTGAAAACATATAAATTGACGGTAACCTATGTTTTTTGACTCATTTCACTGACAGATGTGATGAGATTATTATTGTAATTTATAGATCCAAACGTTTTTTGAAAAAATAATGTATTTTAAAGTTATTTCCTAGAGTTGGTTTGTATATATTATATATATATGAATACAATACCTACAGTATACAATATTACTAGTATAAAAATAACAGCACAGTCGGCACACTTTAAAATAAAAAAGCAGCATAATATTCAGGTATGTATCTAAGTAAAATTTTCTCAAAAATATTAGAATATGAAATAAATTGCAACTAAATTTTAATTAATAAACATAAACAAATAAAATTGTCAGTGTTATTAAAACTTTATGCAAATATATGTTACCTTAATACTTTGTCTTTAATCCTACTCTTCTGACATGGCTTTTCAAACTAATATTTATGAACTTTTGTTTCCATATTAATTTCAATATATTTGAATAAAACTGGAAAAATAATGAATATTGGCACTTGAAATTTTAATTTCTTATGTCCTTAAATTATTTATATCGTGTTATACATAATACCAAATAATACTTACATAAATATTCAATTTAAAAATAGATCAGCACTTGAACGAGTGAATATAAAATAGTATATTATCAATTTCTATGAGCAATATCATTACTAAATCAAGGAAATCTATTCCTAATGCCAATTTAAATTCTGTGAAGGCACAACACTTTCTTCAATATTTGTTTACTTCCAAAGGGCAAAGGGTATAACTTGAAATATTTCAAGTATATATTTTAATTTTTGACATTAAGCACTCACATTTAGAACATCTGAAATAAGAAATTTTGTTATTCTACGCGTCTAAAAAGATATAACATTTTTCTCACTATAGAGCAGAAATTTCTTTGCGGCTTCAGATACAAAACTTGCGGATTTCCATACATCGAAATACAAAATAAGATATTATTTATTAGTAGACAAATACCAGAATATAGAAGGCCAAACCAAACCTCTAGGAAATAACTTTAAAATAAATTATTTATTCAAAAAACGTTTGGATTTTGGATCTATAAATTACAATAAGCATCTCATCACATTTGTCAGTGAAATGAGTCAAAAAACATAGGTTACCGTCAATTTATATGTTTTCAATTTCAAATACTCGACGGCCATTGGTCGTGACGAAATCGTCTTCCTCGACAAAATACGGCACGTTTTTTTTGGGCCAGTCGAATATCCTTATTCTATATATCCTTGGTTTATTCGAATTTATGGATTACTCGAAATACCAAATGTGCGGTACCAAATTATTGGCCAGGATAAGACACGAAAAATATTAAACCATCAAAACTATTTTTCCAAGACTCTTTGATTAAAAATTAGTGTTTTTAACACAGCCATGGCATTCCAAGAACGGTAAACTAACGGTTAACTGTTCTTGATGGCATTCTAAATTTAAATTTAAAATACAATTTTTGTTTAAACGAAAATGTCAAGAGTTGGCATAATATGATATGTCATTCTATTCAGGGTGCATCCACACTATCCTAAAAACGGCGTATCGGCGTAACGGCGTAACGACCTTGAATCGATTTCCAGTAATTCTATTGGCTGAAATTTTTGACAGATCAATTTGACAGATAAAATTTCTGACAGATGAATTGTTCAGTCAATAGAATTACTGCAAATCTATTCAAGGTCGTTACGCCGTTACGCCGATACGCCGTTTTTAGGATAATGTGGATGCACCCTCAGAGTGTCATTTTCTATCGAATAAAGTAGAAATATACCGAGGGCAAAGAGTAGATAAGACAAGAGACGACAGTTCGTGCGGTACCTTTCATGTTTGAGTGGTGGGGAGAGTGACCTCGTCTCGCTTGTCCCTTTAAATTTTCGTAATTTTTTCGCGGGAAATTTGAAACAGACTATTATTAAAACTTGCCTGTATAGCTTATAAATAGTTACTGTATGGGTAAAGAAATAAATAGAAACGAAAAAAAAATGAGTTTTCTAAATATTATATAAAATAAATTATAATTATAAACATATTTGTCGGGGAATAAAGATAATAAAAGCAATATTTTGTATATCGTTGGTAAACAAGATAGAGTGACCAAGTCGATTTGTAAGAAATGTTTTATTTACGTGTATTTTTTTACATATGGACTTGAACAAGTGTAAAATCACAATGTGGAGTTTGTGAACAAAAAAATAGAGTTGCTCAATTTTTTTTGTAAAAATATAATACAAGCTTCTAACCATGTCTTCGATCTATGGATTACATTTAGTTTAATAACATAATTATATAGTATATTTCTATAAAAGTACTTTTCAGGATCCTTTGGAAAAGAGTAAAATATTATGTTTGTCGAAGAATAAGACGTATTTTTGCAGTCTTTATAAGCACACACATTGCCACCATCTCGTCTTTTCCTGCTCTACTCGTGTCCTGTTCAGTATTCATATTTAACAATATTTACAAATTAGTACGCAACAAAAACGATACTAAAATTAAACCTTAAAAACTCTCAAAATGATAATATATCGAAAAACTCTGAAAACACACTTTAAAAAGGCAAAAATGCAAGAAAACAACTAATCAGATTTGTTTATGTTTAAGCCTGATTAGCGCAGCTGATTAGCGTCCTAAAATCATAGGTTAGATTAGATAAAATACGCCGTTGTCAGATTTTCAGATTTTATCTGTTTATCTTTGAAATCGATCAACTTAGTCATTCTGTTTCTTTGATATTATCAGTACATTGCGAAAAAAGAATCTAAACCAACCCAAACTAAAAATTTACATTTCCGTATTAACATACGTTACTTATATCTTTCTTATATTATTAATTTATTTTCAGAAAATCTTGTTTATTTTTCAAAGAAATATACTTGGCAACAGACAAAATGGGACTTGATGGGACCTTTAAATTTTAATATATCTGCGTCTCTCTCGCGAAATTCAACTTCTTTGTTCACTGTCGTCTCTTGTCTTATCTACTCTTTGCCGAGGGTGCCTTTTAACAATCCAAAGTTGTAGTAGTTTCCGGTGAAACAGGAAGTAGCCAAAAACAATTGAATACGTCAATTAGTCCTAATTTATGTCATATACTAACATACCAAATTTCGTTTTTTTTTATCTGAAAAACTAAAAAGTTATAGGGGTGAGCCACTTTCGAGACGCACCGGGTATACAGGGTGTCCCAGGCTGAGCGTGCATTAGAAGTTTCTAGAGAACCACAATATCTAGGCCGGAGATTTTTTGCACATCATTGTTTCACAACGAGATCTATCGATTAAAAATATTTTCAATACGGCGGCACTTCCGGAACTACCGGAAGTTGACCACAACTTTCTTATTTTAAATGGGTGCCCACATTTTTTATTACATACTTAAATTCTATGTAAAATTTTATGAATTTTGATATCAAACACTCTGTACCTAACGTTAACCGTTTTTGAGAAAAAAAAATATTTAAAATTTTTGGACGAAAAAAACTGCCTGTCAAAAATATGTGTATAGTCTAAACGTCAAATTTAGTGATTACCACAGCCACTGTGCCATAAAGAGAAGA